CTAGGAACCGTTTAGATTCACTGGAGATTAAGTTGCTTTATTTCTGTTTATCTTTCCTTCTGAATAGGCAGTAGGTTGTTGTGATGAAGAGTCCCTAGGCAACGCAAAGCTTCAGCTCTTTATCAGCTTTAAGTTTTGGCAACAGTAGCTTGAAGTTCTGATAAACCAAAAATTTTCCTCAAAGTAATTTTGTGCCAAATATGTTGCACAAAAATGCATTGAAGACATAAAGGCACAAAATATTTATGGTTCTATGCTGTTCAGGGGAAGGAAGATGACTTACATGGTAAGTATGTATTTCTCACTCACATTAAACTCCAAAAGAATTAAGTATACACAGATTTCTTCAAAACTGGTTGCTAGTGTCAGAGACTAATATCCCAGGAGTAACATATAACTTTACTGTATCTAAACAAGATTTGTCTAGGCTTGAAAAGCTATTGTGTTTTAGTGCACATGCAAAAACATTAATTCTGATGGAATCTGATTCATGAAGAAGATTGTTCACTATTCATTTTATACAATATAATCAACATTGCAAATGCTGTTTAGTTAAGGATATGTTTGTGCAAACTGCTCTAGCACAAAGAGCAACTGATGAAGGATTCAATCACATAAAATTATTGAAAGCAAGATGAAGCAAATCCCTTTAAATTACTTAAGTACTGCTTAAACCCTGTAATTAACATATAGCAATAAATATTTCATCTTTAACAAGCCTATTGGGAGCAGTTGCTTAAACATCTACTTCTAGTCACAGGGAATTATGTACAGTCATTTTATCATGTTCTGTAGTAGACAATTTTATCCTCTTTATTTTAGCCACAGCAGTGGAGACACTCATTTGGGGAAATACACTCTTTCTTCAAATATGGGCAAACATACTCTTACTTGAAATGTGTTTTGCTTTTTATCAATTAAGTTTACCCTTGCAAAGTCCTGCCCAGCACACAGTGATGGTTCACATTTACTTGATGGCCTCTTCTGTGGAACCGATTTACTGCAGATAGGGGACCTTTACTGGAAACCTAAGCAAGCTTACTCAAGTCATCAATGCAGAACTGACCTCACAGCCTGGCCAAGGTCATTTTGGGAGACTAGAGAGAAAACCTGAGGACTTCTTTACAGCACAGCCAAACCCCAAAGAGAGGATACCAAGGGTGCGGTTTCAGGCACCTTCCAACATAGACCTGAACTTTTTCCTTTACCTTTTTCCTTTTCCCTTACCACAGGTGCAGGGAGAAATCTGTGAGAGCACTAAACATCACTGCCCTTCAACCAACATCTTGTGCAAGCAGTTGTTGTTGCACTGCAAGGCCAACTGAAATGCAGTCACTTAAACCACTACTAAAACAAACCCATTGTATTGATAATGACTAACATCCACCCAAGGAAAAGAATAGAGCCAAGCTGAGCTCTTACTCAGAGCTTCTTCACTGTGACAGTCTGAGCACACCCTTCTTCCTGAAGGGGGGAAGAATACAAAGCAGGCTGGGTACAACAGGAGCAGAAAGTTTCTCTGTGCTTCTTTGTGAGAGCATCGGTGAATTTATGGGTCACTGAATAGGAAGTAAAGATTTCTGCAATAGAAATTATATTTCAGTGTTTCACACAGCATCTTTAGTGATGAATACAACTGTTTTCCCCTCTAAACAAATTAGATCTCCATTTGCCATTAATGACTGCATCACTTAAAAGATCACAAGGGAACCGCCTGGTGCACTTATTAATAATTGAAAACTTTGAAAAAAATCTGTGAAACATTTTCAGTCAAAGCTAATAAATCACTAAAATATTGTTTCCTGGAGAAAAAAAAAAAATCCTTTTGTTCTTTTATTACTTTTGGATAATAGGCTACATTTTAAGTAATGGCTTTGAGAAAAGCACAAGCTGAGAGTTCGTAAGTATCTAAAATCAGAAGTGGTTTCAACAGTTTAAAAAAAAACAAGAACTGGAAAAGAGGCAATATTCATCTATCTCATTCTTGCAAGTATGTTGAATTCTATTTCAGTCTGCATGCTGTTTCCTAATATCTTCAACTGATGATTAAGGAAATGTACCCACTTAATCTCTGCCCTTGTTCTGCATAAACATGAAGAAAAACTTTCAAGAATCATTTCTTAATCAGTAGAGTCCATCAAATCAAGGCTCCTATTGCTACAAAACTGGACTTTGCAGAACTACTAAATGACCAAGGGGAACAAAAAAAATACACAAAACTTTTTGATCAGAGATATTAGAAGTTTTGGATGCCTTTTGCCATTTAAAGTTTCAAAATTTCATATTGTGCTTATTCTATTTAGTAACCTTCACTATCCAAGAGCAAGGGCAAAAAAGATGCATACAAAATTACCCTCATCTGCAAAGATTTTTTGAGTATACTATAATGATCCATGTTTTCATCAGCACAGAAAGGTTGCATGACAGGTACTCATCAAAGCCCCAAGATCTGCAATCTTGTCTATAGGACACAGAGAGAGGGAAGAGCAGTGGCGCAGTGTATCTGTCCCAGCAGATCTCACCTGGGAATAATGGCTGCAGCCTAGCCAAAGGCAGGTCATGCTTCACATCCCCCAGGGAAAGAAAATTGATTTTTAAAGGGTTGTTTTGTTGCTCGGGTTTTGGGGAAAACAAACAGACCAACAAAATCACAAAACCTCAAGCAACCAAAACCAAACAAGCAAACAAAAAAAAACCAACAAAAACAAAACCCTCATGCATTTCTCTCCCACCTTTCAACTCAAAGGTTTCCTCACCTTTTCTAAACAAACCAAAGTGCACTTGCACTGAAAATGGCAGTATTTTACATCCCAAGCAGCTTTTACCAGTGGTTTGCATCAGAAATCCACAGCCACATTACAGGTTCCTCTCTAGGACTCAAAGTCCTCAGAAGCTCTGACAATAATTCAAAGGACAGTGCTCCCTTCACCACAGGGGCAGGATGAGACACCCCTACCCAGCTCCCCCAGCCAGGTCTCTTACCTGCCCTCACAAAGAATAAGCAGCTGTGATCCTGCAGCCCCCTTTCCCTCCTGAGTCTTTCCCGACAGCCGTCCTCAGCTTCATTCACTGTAGCTTAACTCTGTAACTTCCTACTACAGAAACAGCCAACAACACCCCATAGAGCATAGGAACCCCCTGCCCCACTGCAGGTGCCCAGGGCTTCAGCCATCAACCTTCCTCCTGGGAAAACAAGGTAAAGTGTTCTAAGCATTTAGAGAATGATAGCAAAGGAGACAGAGACAGAACAGCTGGGCCAGAACAGGCCTGGCTGATTAAAAACAACTAACCACAGGCAGCATTTGCTTGGCTATCCTCACACAGGCCAGTCACATCAGCCGTAATTATGTGGTCACTTGTACCGGGTAACTTGTTAGCCTGGCAGGTGCCCTAACAGCCCCCCTATTGAATCCCCGTACCAAACTGAGGAGATGCCTGTAAAATTTAAACATAGTGAATTCACTGAACCAATACACAATAGCAGACTTTTTTCTTCCATCCTGACCAGACTTTTTAACTTTACAAAGATATTTCATGTGTTTTTAGGGATCTTTTGGCTTTACATGATTTCTTGAGTAGGCATCTACTTAATGTTTTAAACAATGTTCAAAGTCATCTGTGCCACTGGCAAAAAGCTAGGTTGAGCAACACCAGTCTTCGACACCTGTGTAAAGTTAATAGCAATCAAAAAGACTTCTTTTGCAAACAGATACATACTGTGTGACACCTGTTTAACAGCAATCAAAAAGACATTTTATTGACAGGTAGAGGAGTGTGTGTATGTCTAACCAAAAGAAAAAATAAGGAAAAAACAAAATAAAACAAAAAAGAAACAAACAACAACCTCCAACACACACACTTTCATCTACTCAGTGGAAACAATGCACGCGCATTCCTGTTTCTTGTCTAGTCTCATGCATTAATTTTTACCTCCTAGAACATGTGGAATGGTTCCCTTTCCAGAGAACAGGTTACCCTTCTGCTCTATCAGACTGACTCCAACTGTGTCATGAGCAGACTGAAGGTTTCCACCGAGCACACCCCCACTGCCAGTGCAGCTCATCAGGCAGCTACTAGGAAACAAAAATAATCCTGTAACAGAAGCTGTTTGTCTTAGCAAGTCTTTTGCTCTTGTGGGCATTCATAACATGGTATCTCACCCACAAATATACAATGGGATTCTCACATTTGCTATTTCTTCCTTCTGAGTTATAAATCTGTGATTTGAATTTCAGTGCAGACTATTTGCAGAAGAGGCCTATATATTACTACAGTCCTTTTCAAACACTCTACAGAAATTAATTAATTGATTGCTATTTAGAATGTAAAAAGTATTTAACTTGTCAGCTAGTTCTAACAAAGTATTTGTTCTCTGTGAGATCACAGAAATATTTCTTAACCTGGTTTAAAGCTGCCATTACAGTAATTTGCATTCATTTTTAATAATGAGCTATTTAACATGCACCTATCTGTAAGAAATCTTTTATTCAAGGGGCCTTGTTGAAGAAAAGCAGCAGAATTCTGCATATAAGTATAATCAATGCATTTAGCAATTTATAATGCTTTAGTAACCTTCTGAACATTTACCATCTCATAGTGCAGGCAACAGGAAAAGTAACTTAACAGAAACTTATGTAGAATCAACATGCCTAGACAAATGAATTCCAGTATTCAGAAATTAGATAAATTAATTCCATCTGGTTCTGATATGTTTTAAATTCTGCTTGAAGTAGGAATGTGTTCACTTATTACTTTAAAAAACTAGAATAAACAAAATATTCTAAGACAACCTCAATGCTATTACTACTTTTAACCCAATGGTTTTGTATAATTATTTTTTTTTTAGTCCAAGCACTGACTCCCTTGCTGCTACCACATTTAAATAAGCCACTATTGAGGAAACAAAGAGAAAACAGAAAAATGAGCTGCCCTTGCAGACTGGGATGCTAATGCCAACGCTTAAAGGAGAAACTGTCAAAAAGAACAGCCATAACAGAGAATTCTGGGTTTGCACATTTTAATTTTATTAGGGTTTTTTACATTCTTGATGGAATTTTTATGTAACCATTATGCCACAATCTATGATACACAATGAAAATGGAAATCTGTCATTCACCATTTACATTTCTATGTTAATTTTGTTTTCTACGTATACTGTGGCACAAGTGCATTTATCATATTTCATGCAGCACTGACCTGCCTTATGCAAGCTGAAAATACAATAAACAGTGCCAGCAATATTTAGCTGCACTCAATTTTTGCCACAGAAACAAGCATTCATAAAAGCATTAAAATACTTCGGGTGACAGCTACTATCAGCTTAATGTTTTGAGCTATAGAAATGGACAAGAGACAGCATTTGCTGCTGTCAGATGCAGTACTTCCCAAGTTCATTAGGTTTCAAAAGTCTGAATTAGCTTCAATGTTTCAACGAGAGAAAAAGCCCAAGGCTATCGGCCTGATTTGAAAGGACAGTACTGAGTTTCATTAACATTAGACCAAGTTTGGTTGTGGATCCCATGGTAAGTACCTTACTACATCAAATTTATGCTCTGAAATGAGGATTAGTTTTTCACCATCACATTGTCTCCAGGCCAAATAAAGGGACAGTGTAAGGCACACATCCCTTTTTGGTAATCTGCTTGGACAAGTAGTACCTGATCGTTGCTATGAGTTTTTAATACACCTTTTTATTTTGACAAGACAAGAAAATTTCCACCATCACCTGACACTGAATCAGGCATAAACTGTCAAGCCTTATTATGTCACAGCCGAGACAGCAGCAGCAGGGTAGAAGTTACTGCCAAGAACACAGGTATGTCCCAGGAGCATGCTCAGGCCAGGGAAGTAATTGGACATGGGGCTGAAGTCTCATCTATGTTTTTTCCACTCACTTCTTATGAGCGGATGCTCAGCCAATCTAGCATAACCCTCCAGGCACCACAGGGGCACAAGGCCCTTGTGCATCTAGTTACTGCTTCCTGCTTGCAACAAAGGCATGTCCTCATTCCTCTACATCCTACTACACCACTTACTCTGAGCAGTTCCCTCTCCTAGCCAGCAGAAAGAAAAGAAGAAGTCTCCTGCCACTACATAGTCTAGTGTTGCAGAAACTTGCAGTCACAAGGTTCATCCAGACTCAAGTCCTCCTGGGGCAGAGGGAACAGGCCTTCTGACAACGCTAGTTCAGTGGTGTCCACCTGCTTGGTAGCAATGCGGAGGAAGGACAAGCAGTGTCACCCTGAGGCACCTTGCTGTGCAGTGTCTCCAGGAAGCCAAGCGCTCTCTCCCTCAAAGAGAAACAACCCCTGCTGTTCTGTCCCTTCCAGTACTTGCTGTACATCAGCCACCTTACACAGAACCAGCTCTTGAGGTTCACTTACGTCGCTTATATCAATAAAAGTACATGAAAGTACATGGCAACTGATATCCTAATTAACAAGTAAACACAAAGGACAAAAGAAATCAATTACTACTTGTACAAAACCACAGCATGTGCCTTTCATCAATCAGCAACTGTTGCTTTCCCACCTTCCTCTTAACATATAAAAGCATGACTAAATCAGGAATTGCCACTTCAAAGTTGAATTAATATCTGCACAGAGATGTGAGGCAAGGATTAGAACTGGACAAAGCAGTGAACCCACTTCTTGTCGCACAGACACAGATTCCTCATCCAAACATGATCTTTTTATGGGTGCTACCAGGTCTCCTCAGGTCCCTAATACCACAGAGCAACAAAGCAGGCAGCCCAGGGAATGGGAGCAGTTGGTGCTGCCACGTCTTACTTTTGCAGTCAGTTGATGCTGAATTATTTTGCTGATCACCAACTTCTCTGTCAGCTCATGTGGTCCTGTGTAGACTTAATTCTCTGCTTAGCTACATCCAACAAACTTTCTTGGTCACTTTTATTTCTGCCTTCATCACCCTCTTCCACCTTATACCTAAGTGGACCACACCACTTTTGTTTTCAGCTGTTAGCAGCTTTGTAATCTGACTTCATTTCCATCCTCCTCACATCACCACCTTACCATCTCCTTCCAATAATCACAGCCAGTACATTTCTCTGTGAAAGCCATCTATCAACTCCTTGCTTTCTGGTTTCATAACTCCTCTCCAATATATCTAGAAATAATTGTCAACCGTCTTCCTTGTAACAGCGTATCCTGTTTCCTTCGCGGCTCCCACACGTACTCTCCTCTTTCTTTTTTTTCAGGGATGTGCATAACTATCATGCTGTCCATGCCTGCTCTACTTACAGTACTTAGACACCAGCCACGGACTGGAACTGGAGGTTTACTGAGCTAGACTTACTGAGCATCCTTGGATAGGACACTCTCTTGTGCCAAAGAGGTCCCAATCTAAATAGATAAGCCACAAAAAACAGTGGAAGGTAAGCTGGAGTTATTTTTTTCTTACAAACTGGGGAGTAAGGTGCAGATTAATGAAGTCAGGTGCTGCATTGTTATATGTGGTAGAGCAAAAATACATGATTTTATTATGTATAATTTTCCCCACTTTTATTTACTCTTTCAGATGCAGTGATTTGAGAGACTACTAGTTAGAGATGGGTCAGTGCCCTGCAGTTAGAATGTCTTTCCCTCAAAAGCCTCCAGGTTGAAAGCTGTATCCAAGAACCTTCTGAGCGACACCAGATGTGTGTTCTTGTTGCCTGTGGCAGCTGCAGCAGCAGGCTCTCGGCCAACATACCTTTGTGACAAAAAGAATTGAGCAGACAAATGAGGTGAGAAGAGAGACTATTTTGACACTAACAAGCATGACAGCATGCTGCTAAATGCATTCAAGTCAGCTTGGCAGATTTGGACATTTAATCATCAATCTTTCTTAAATAAAAATCAATCTAAGCTGCAACATCAGTTATACCTTCTGGTCAGCTTCCCCCTCTTCCGCCCTCCCATCAATATTAAGCTACATCTTCTCCCCCATCCCTCCCAAGGCAAGCTACACTGTCTCATAATTAGGTAAGTTGCTTTTGGCAATGAAGACTCATTCCTCTGACAGCCGCATGGCCAGATCTGAGAGTCAGTCACCTAAAATAAATGCAAGGTACCTGAACTGAGCTCTCAAAAGAACTGTTTCCTCCAGAAACCTAATATTTGGAGTGAAATTCTTAAAAAAGACATAATCTTAGACAAGAAGAGAGAAAAGTATGTGAGAGCAAAGTGCTGTGCTAAATGGCAATAAATATAGAGCTAATCGCTACTGATTTTCTTTTAGAACTACAAGGAGGAGCCAGATATGCATGATGTATTTGTGAAAGTCATCTACACTTTTCCCTCCTTCACCCAAGAAACCAAACTCACAGGTTTTGATTTGTGAAGAACATGACTTCCCCGTAAGTAACATCCTCAAAAAAACTCCCCCAAATCAGCCAAGCTTAAAAGCAAACAAGCCAACCCAGGAGATGAAGCAATTTTTGTCATACCATATAGGTCGAGTGTGGTTCACAATAGTGCGGAAACGAGGTTTGACATAATCATAATATCCACTGTTTTTGTGTTCCTCCTGACACCAAACTAGATCAGCACCTGGATACTTCTCAAGTTCTTCTTTCAGCAAGTCAAAAGGGAATGGTGATATCTAGAAAGAGAGGGCAATAACTGGTAAAGCTTTCTCCTACATGGTGTTTGCAGATGGTAGGAAGGCCTTTTATCCATCAGCTCTTCCAACCAACCATTACAGTTAAGCACTTAGTACCTAATATACTTGCTACATGTTCTTTAAAGTGACTTGTATTTCTTTAATTGACTTCCTGCTGTAAGAAGTGAATACACATATATTTTATACTTGCACCGGTACGAACAGAAGTAGGTGATAGTCCATATCTCCTGCATTCCTACAGTTTTTCTAGTGAAATCCTTAATTACTGAATGATAATGTAGCTGCAAAGTGTACTATTCACAACATTTAAGCATAGTAGATTCAACATACAAATTTAAGATGCCATTGTACTGTAACCTTCACTTTGTTACGTTGTTCTGGAAACCTCGTCAAGATTTCTAGATCTCATTGTCCAGTATACAATTGATATGTTCCTTCACCACAAGGACATTAAGTAACATCTTGTAAGATGCAAGGTGCCATAAAAATACTATCACCATCCTTTCTGGCAAGTTTTATCTATTTAAAAGCATAGGAACCCCTTGCTGAAAGTCTCCCCAAAGACTGTGTCCTTCTGAGAGCTCACCTGTTCAAGTCTGGTTATAGCTACTTGCTTCTCCAGGTCTTGATTCTTTCTCTCTTTCACCAGATCATAGTAAACTTTTCCTGTGCAGAAAATCACTCGCTTGACATCATGTGGTGCATGGGCTGCCAGCCCGTTCTCCGGAATCACACGCTGGAAAGTGGTACCTAGTTAGAATACAAATTAGAAAAGCGCTCTCAGAGGAACAGACATTGCAAAAAAGCAGCCCAAGAAACAGTCCTTTACTGGGCAGCCAGCAGGTTGTAATGGTTATGGGGTTCTGCTGGCTCTCTATTCCTACTTTTCAGATCGGTAATTCTGCTACAGTGACTTTCAGCAGTTTAGTTTCAAGAAGTTAGAAGACTGTCAATAATCCACTTGTCACACTTCACAAAACATATTGAAGAGTAGCTTCTTTTTTTAGCTTTGTGTTGTGCATTACACCTTTAATTTTTAGTTTATTGGATAGCCCACCTTTGCTTCCATTTTTTTTCAGAGAATTACCTGAAATACTGTTTCTTCTTTCCAAGATGATCTCAACCATCTAACATTAATGCAGGTTTAGAAAATTTTAGAACATTATTATATAAAAGCATAGCACATATTCATAATGCAACTAAATCTGGCAACTGCAGAAATATTTACACAAGCACACATATTACTGCCATATACTTATGTGATTTAAACGTCTGTTAGAAAGCTAGAATGGCATTAGCCAGAAGAAGAATTAGCACAGTACTGAGCCACAAGTGTAAGTGATAAGATGCAATTTCAGATGTATATGCTCAATGCTAGGTATCTTTTCCCCTGTGATATCACCTCCCAGGAGGACAATTTGCTTGGGATACATGAAACTGGAAGAGGAACTTGATGGTCTAAAAGATCCTTATATGATTGATTAAAACTATTCCCACAGTAACAAACTGCACGGTAGCAGACAGCAACATGACCTCCCAGTCTGAATCAGCACACCCACGTACCAGGAGAATAAGCTCCCATTCGAACCATTTATCTTGGGGGTAGAAAAGCAGCAGCACAAATATATGAAAGAGGAACTGATTTATGTCAGAATTATCCTGTCTCACTGAACAGCAGAATTCATCATTAAAAAAGACTGAATCTGTGCTACATTGAGTCAGCTGGAGTCAGTCTTCCTCTCCTCCTCAGCTTTCCATTAAAAATAGAGCAAAAGGAGTTAGCTGAGAGTCAGCAATACTTTACTACTTCCTTGCCTCTTCAGCAGGAACATAAAAGTATGTCAGAATTCAGTGTTAATCCACTATTGAGGATTAGCCTGAAATAGAGGGGACTCCCAAGACAAAATGACAAATCACAATCCCTATAGAATTTCTAATCTGAAATCTGTTGTGACATGGCAGCCACAGAACTGAATATTGTAAAGAAAAATGTGCCCTTCATTCTTCCGAACAGGCACAGTGTGATTCCAACCTATCCATCACATATAGAGGGTGCAGATAGTACACAAAGAACAATTCAATTTTTGTATGAAGAGAAAGAGCAGAGGCACCTAATAGCCTATTGAGGGGAACATCCCTGCAGAGAGGGGAATGCACTTTCCATTGCCTTTAAGATTAATGACTGGTTACAAGACAAGCCTCTTAAAATTAAGAATCCATACTCAAAAGCTGACTTTTTAGCAAAAGCCCATGCTAGATCTCACTACACCAGCTCCACAGAAATTACACCAAAGGAAAAGACAAATTGTTTGGAGCAGATTCCCTTCCTCACAGCCTGACACGTGAGTTAACATAGCTAATTATTTGTCCATAATACTTTAAGGTGACCTACCAGACACCATTTCATCAAAACTGGATTTAGCTTCCGGATGCCTCAGCAGTGACTTGGGTGTCAAAATAATCAGCTGTAAAACAGGAATTTTTCCCAAACTCAAGAGCTGCTTTATCTACATTATTATATGCAACATTTGTAGCACTGTTCCTACTAAACACACAAACTGAACATGCTACAGATCAAATTAATGTGATTAATGAACCGCAAACACAGTATTTTTTCCTGTTTTGAATGCCTAGGAAGTTTCAAAATTACTCAAAAGATCTGAGTAGTCTACTCCCTTTAAAGGTTCTCAAGAACTACTGTTTATGGTTCTTTTCGAGAACAAAATAAAATCACAGGGTATGAACCAGTAAAACATCCAACAGTTGTATCTTAGGTTTTTGAAGTTCCACCAATTACATGCAGATTATAGTCACGCAACCTATTAACTACAGTGTCTTGACAAGCTCATCTGAAGGCCTAAAAAGCCAGAAAGAAGTAAAACTGAAAATCAAATTTCATAATTGTAGCACATCAGAGCTGAGTTTCATTCCATCAAATCAGCAACTTCAACCTGTGTTAAGATTTTTCACCAGTGATTCTTGTTCTTTTTAGCAGTATGCCATATGCAAACACCCCTCCTTATGTGAGGGTAAATATACCTAGAAAAAACAGGTCCATTATAGTAACTTTACCGGTTTTCTGAATGGCAGCAAGATCTGTCTTCTGAGGACGTGAAAGTAATTGGCTGGAGTAGAACAATTCACCACAATCCAGTTGCATTCATACAGCTGGGAAACTTCAAACTGCTCACTGAACTCCTGAGAGAGACATTAAAGGCATTAGAAAAAAAATGCCTACAGGATCAGAAAAATGGGCTCAAAACCTACACTTCTATTTCTGACTCTCAGCAACTCCCTTCCTCAAAAATACTTCATTAGCAGATTCTGATGAGATTGTATGATTAGCTAGGGAAACATCCCCACAAATCACTCTCTTCTGTTTCTACTTCTTCCTAAAAATGTATGTAAATAAATGCATAAACCTTCCACTAATTTCAGCAAGGTGGGAAGCCCAGGAACGATAGGCGAGGAGGACTAGGACTTCAGTAGGTGGAAGACACAAAATATAACCCCTTTGAAAGAATCTTAAAACTAGAATTCATTTTTTGAGTGTATAGATAACTCTCCCATTTTTTGGCAAGTGTCCCATCCTCTTATGCTTTTTAACACATAAATTTCATGTTTTATATTTTCTGTATTTTATGAATATAGGGTGTTTTTATCCATGTCTATGTACATATACATTAGGTAAGCATATATGTAGCTAAAGGTACAATGATCTCATTACAGACTGGTACAGCAGCTAACACAATTCCCTGGTCCATGGTTAGAGCTCCTGCCTTCCATGATGAAATTTATAACTTGCTTCATAGTGTGCAACTGTCAGTCCTTAAATACTGTCAATCAATCAGGTCCTTATTATGCCAGTTCACTGACAAAAATTACTCTTAGTTGAGAAGCAGCATGGCTTTGGAACTATCACTGCCCCAAGGGTAACAAACTCAGGGCCAAAACTGAAACATGCATTTTATTTTGCCTGTTTTTAAATTGGTGGGCTTTTCAATTAATGTATAGCAGAGTTTCGTAGGAAATCTGCAGTGGGGAAATGGATGCCCAGGATCCTGTAGAGCTACATAATTTGCCTGAATGACCAGAGTATGAAAGTCTTAGCTGAATAAAATTTAGTAGTTTCTTATTTTCACGCTCCCTGCAGTATAATTTAGCTCCACTGCAAGAAGCCAGGAGTAGTCTCACTTGGCCTCCTTTAGAAATTAGCTAGAGACACCCCTTTGCAGTATGCACAGCAATATAAACAAGCAGAATCACTGGCCCTGAGGAACAGCCATAAAAAGATCATGCTGCCAGAGATTAATTGTATATGACCTCAGCTTTGCAATGAAGCAGCACATACCTCATACTTCCATCACTTTTACTGGGATCAAGTTAATGTTACCTCAAGTTCTGAAACTAAATCTTGACCCCCTATACCTACCTAAAAGGATGCTTCTTATCAAAAAATACGTCTAAAACATGAAGAACAAAAACAGGATATAGCCTTTGACAAATCTACTTACCGGATAAGCATCAGAATCATCATTGCTCATCTGCAGAAACCTCTCAGGCCTGGCTGATGAATGCTCTGGACCCTAGTAAAGGTATCATTTAAAATGAAATTAAAAAACCACATCGTCAATTAGACATCATTTCAGGTCACTCACTCATGAATAGCTCCTGTCACCCTGGCAGCTCTGCACCAAGCTGCACACCTGCCCTCCCAGTCAAAGGGCATCAATGGCAGTAGCAGTGAGAAGAGAGGACACACCACAGGACTGGAATTTTTTGTCTTTCATAAAATATTTTCATAGGAGAAGATAAAATTTTCATATGGATTTCCAGTGCTTTTACCAGCTGTAAGTAATTTCCAGCCTCAGTATAGCTGCACAATGAAGACGAATGACAGGGCAGTTGGGTCCACGTGGGAAGAACAATGACCTTGCTAATGCAGGGCAGAAAGGACCAGGAACAATGTCAGGAAGAGAAACACCATGTGCCTCAGTGTATGCAGTGACTCATACTTCTTTGGACCAAACCACACTTGCATGCTGAGCAGGAGGAAATACAGTTAACTGCCCACTATCTTCACTATATTAGCAACAAAAGCAGAATCAGGATCTTTCTGCTACCACTGTTCAGTGTTTAGTGTAGGACAAAATAGCCTAGATGAATGCTTCAGCTAAAATGAATCAAACTACATGTACAGATTATCTGGCAAACTAACTTATGATTAATTTCTGCTTCTTCATGTAATGTAAAATAACTTTACATTCCATTCTGTCAAAATACTGAACATTCACAACCAGTCTCACTAGCAGTACCCAAGGTAATTTCTTTTAGTGACAAACATTGTTAGATCCATTTAATACTAGCCAAACACACATGCTAGTCACAGACAATATCAGGAATAAGGAGTGTTTCAGTATGTTATCTCCCCTCTCACGTCCTTGTTTATAAAGGATGAGAGAAAGCTGTGAGGAGTACAAGAATGCAGTGTGCTTTTTTATTTACTGCTAATGCTAGCAGCCTTTGCTTGCTCAAGTGACAGTTACTGCTAGGAAGGACTTTCATTTTGGAGACAGCTGCAAAGTACTTTAACCTGAAGACATAAAACTATTACATCTCAATTCTCCCCACAGCTACTAAGCTAACAATGTTCATAAACAGCTTTTTTCTTTATACAGCCATCTCCCATCATAACTTACTCTGCTGAAACCTTAACGCATGATTTGAAAAATCACTCATTATTTTGACAGCTTGATACAACACACATCATCCTCCCTAATTATACATGCAGGATTCCAGAGTTCAGAGGATGGCCACAAAGACGATCAGAGGGCTGAAGGACATCTCCTATGAAGACAGGCTGAGAGTTGGACTTGTTCAGGCTGAAGAAGTATCCAGGGAGACCTGAGAGCAGCAGTACATAAAGGGGGCCTATAAGGAATATGGAGAGGCACTTTTGACAGGGGCATATAGTGATAGGACAAGGAGGAATGGCTATAAACTGAATGAGTGGAAATTTAGATTAGATATGAGGAAGAAGTTCTTCACTGTGAGAGTTGTGAGGCACTGGAAGAGAGGTTGTAGACACCCCATCCCTGGAAGTATTCAAGGCTAGATTGGACAAGCTTTGAGCAACCTGGTCTAGAAGAAGGTATTGGAAGGGTTGGAACTAGGTCATCTTTAAGGTCCCTTCCAAACCAAACTATTCTGTGATTCACTCTATTCCATGGACTAAGGGACTTCAAAGGAAAAAAACATGCCCCCGGCAACAAAGGAGTAACAGCCAAGAACTATGCCTTGCACCATTACTCTTGTGAAGTCTGAGGTGCCAGATAAACTGATCATAGATGGGTAAGGGCTTGAGAACAAGCAGCAAAGATGTGCAAAACTATGGCGCACAGTAACAGTCCAATATTGCAATACCTCTGCTGTATAAATCTATTTGCCGTAAATCAAACCTACACAAAAAAGTACAACCTATACATGCACAAACATAGTGCTTCACAAGCACACTGAATTCAGTACACTGGAAACTGAAATGTTACTGGCAAATAACTGCAGGAGAGACATGTGAGGCTTCCCTAACACACACATATATATGCTGCCCCAGTAATCTCAATCCAGAGCCTCAATGTTCACATCCATCTTTGATTTCTCTGCTGACACTGCCAGTCAGATTGCTAGCAACTGCTGTGTGGGATGCAGTAGGGTTTATTTCTACTGTGACCACCTACCCAGTGAGACCTATACTGAATCCATTAGCTACTCTCAGATGAGTCCCCAAGGAACCATTAGGCAGCAGTCTTTCAATCACAGCCAACTTGCCTGTGGATGCATGACCTCGAGGTGAAGGGATCCATACCCCATTACGAATCCTCCCCCAGATCATTCTGCCCCCAACACTGTAGTTAGAGAGTAACACTCCTGTAATGGAAAGCTCCTCTAGGAAGATAACAGATTTCAGTAGCCTGGTGGGATTTTTAAATACTCCAAAAACACCTGACACTAGTAGCAAAATAAGCATGTTTCAGCAAATCCTAGCTGCCGAGTGGCTAAGAGAAAAGAAAGATTAACTGTATGGTAAGCAGCAGAAAACTAGCTCCCTTCAACTGAGTGCTTCCCTGCAGAGGTCCACCCCTCCTCCTGAGGGCACAATCAGGCTGTCCCCTCAGGATTCATATGTTAAAAATTTAATTTATCAAAACTCTTGTGAACAGCATTAGACCCGTTATTCTTTATGCACAAATGGGCACAGAAAGACATTCATAAGATATGAATGCACCCCGGTATATCAGGACAGGATTATAATTGCATGGAAATAAACTAAATTGTTTGTGAGAATGGAAATGACGCAGTTTGTAGTGAAAGGGTCTACAGCATTTATACAGATGGAGATTGCCACTGTGGCACATACTATGATTTTCTTAGTAGAAGGCAAGAAACATACATGCATCAATTCACAAATGTTAATACATTTGAAAAGGGAGAAAATTAACCTAGCCTGACATGATGTTCATGTAATGTTTAAAAATAATTTAAAAGATTTGAAGAACAATTCTACTGAGGATATGAACTTCACATAACATCACATACAGAGCATGCCCATGCCCTTTCCCACTATGACACTGTCTAGTTCTTTCTGCAAGCCACAAAGAAAAGAGAATCGACAGCTAGTGGAAGCATTTTCCTTCTCAGAAAGAGAGAAATTTCTTATTATATCACAGTTACCCAATGTCAATGATTTTTTAAGAAGTTTTAAAGTTGTTTAATGCCATTTCACTGCAAGATAATTTGTACAATTTACACAGACCTACTTCATGCAAAATCAGACCAAGGAAGTAGTAATAGACACTAATGATTTCTTTCTTTTTGTATGCTAAGAATCCAGCTTTCTAGGGGTAAAAGACAGCATCATAGGGAAAGATACAAAAAAAAAAAGAGAGGAAAAAAAAGAAAAAAACTAGGGGCAAGTGGTACATGCCACTAAGGAGGACACAAAGCTAAGAGCTCTGAAATACTTCTCAGGTTTTTTTGGTTCTCACCCATCAATCTATACACATTTTTTCTGTAGCACTGAGACCGTCCAACATGCTGAATAGTGCCTTCCTCCCCCAGCTTTGTATCGCCATTGATCCCCAAGACATCTCTGGCTTTTACAGCCACAGCAAAGGCACAGTAGCCAGCATTTACATCCTGCATAAGCCAACCAATGTCCCTCACCATTCCTTCCATTCCATGTGGCAAGAGCAGGACGATCCCGTTGTGACGAACCCACTTGGCCTGGCCAGAGCTGATGAACTGGTCTATTATACACTGTGCTGTGTTGTGGAAGTCACCAAACTGGGCCTCCCAGCACACCAGGGCATTGGGACTTGCCATAGCAAAGCCAAGTTCAAAACCTGAGAACCAAACAAACAGAAGAATTAGAAAAGAAACAGACCTGCTGAGAATCCTGTTAATTTCTCATTTAAAAAAAAAACATTATTAAAACAAAACCAAAATGAGAGCATGAGCTGGATTTTTGTAGCCCTGCTATAAATCATGCAGTTTTCAGTAGTACCACTTCCATCAGAAGACTAGCAAATAACATTTTTCCAATCCTGACTCCAATCCTTCAAACTTTTCCTCAAGCATTTGAATATCATAGGCGTTTAAAAATGAGTAATTACAACCCCTCCCTCCACTCAAACTTTAGTTTGACGTTTTCCTGAGAGCTCACTGAGGTATGTACTATCTTTTCCTGTAAAAATCCACTTACAGTCTATTACTGGACTGTTACAAGAAGCTACTTGTTAATTTTATTACTTGCACAGCCCTGCACAACATTGTCTTTTTTTTTTCCCTCTCATGCAGGTGCAGAACAAAATTAATGGTGACATCCATCTTCAGTCAATAGGCAGGACCACGTCTTCGGATCTTCAAGAAAGCTTGAACATAATAGGTGCATGGCAGATATATCTGGGGCTTGGGTAAACAATCTTTTGTTTGGCAGAGTCAAGGACCCCTTAGGTCTCTGCCTCAGTAGCAGAGTTATCAGAGGGCTCTTCAGGGGCAGGACATCACTACTTCAGCTAGTGAAAGCACAAAGACATAACCTTCTCCTTCTCCACTCTGTATCAGAGATTTCAGGTGGTTTACATAACAGGTAAGTACAAAACTTTCCCCAAACTTGTGCAGTTTGAACTGCAAATTCATCACTCCATACAGAGCAGAAGGGCCACATATTCCCACTTAGTACACCACGTCAGGTTAATACAGCAGGACATAGTGCAGCAGCCCAGCTGACAGCAACTCCAGTGCTGTGCACAGAGCAAGCCAGGCAGCTTGCTGTGCACTCTTAAAACTTGCCAAGGACCAAACATAACTGAAAGCTCTTGACAGGCCCCACGCAGAAACAAATTTTTGCTCTCACTGAGAGACCCGCTGCAGTACAACAAAGCCTCAGCACTGAAACAGGTCCTGGGGAGATAACTGGCAAGAGAGAAAAGAAACCTAAACTGCTCCTGCAATGTAAGCTAGATAATTGATTTCTAGTAGCTCTGCAAAGGTCAGAGATAGAAAACTACAAGGGTGCTTGCATACGCTACGCAGCCTCTACTGTGTACCTTTAAAAAACATGCAGAATTTCGTGTCAAGTCAAAACATTAAAACCTAGCTGTGTGCAATGTACCTGTCTCAGTTTAATGATCCCGCTTAAATTTAAAGCATTTTTCCATACCATGTTCCATAGTGAACACCTAAATGCATCCAACAATATAAAAATATATATTTGATCTCTACTCATATTTTTCTTTCACACTTTGATATAGCTAGGCCTGGAGTGCTAAGCAAACACCTGTACGCATATTCTACACCTATAGTTTTGAAATATTAAACCCCCCAAAAATTAAAGCTCTCAGTGAAAAAAGAATACTATGTAGCACTGCTCTGGATGTTAAGGTTCTGACTGAAGGAAAATTGATTCAATAAACATATAGAATAAATATTTGCTGGATAAATACGGTTTATGTTGAAGTTTTTGAATTCTGCACACAATATAAAGATCTGTTTCCAAATACGGAACTGCAACATGGGAAGACTCCTATTGAAGGCTATACCTGCAAAGCAACTACCTTTGCTGTTGCAAGATTTTATTTAAAAAGCTATGATACTGAGTTGTAACTCTTTTTTCGAGTTATATATATATATATATATGGAAAATATTTTCTAGACCCATAGGTGGCTATAAGCCAAATACAATCATAGGTCAGGTACCTAATATGCTTCCTAAATATTACATATCAGTAAAATCCAATACTGCTTTGTGAGCACCAGTATTCAGTAAACTACAGTAAACTGTTGCAAAGCCATGCTAAAACTCAAAATCACTGGAACTATAGTTTCTAGCCCCGGCCAAGCCTACTATGCAACTCTTCCAATTAGAAGTTTCAGGAAGTTCAAAAAACTCAGGCTCCATGGAAGATACAAGCTTAGCATCTTTACATTCTCCATACACAGAAGGCTTCTTACAGGGTCACCAGCAAGTAATAGCTGACATCTCTCATATACTTATCATTTGCGATTCATACCCTAGTAACTGGAGGCTGCAGTCCCTCTAGGAGAGCTCAATTTTTGCAATTCAGTGGGTAAGAGAATTACTTCAAAGAGAACTATAATACCAAACAATTATATAAGCAATAATAGAAAAATACCTAAAGTACCTTTAAGATGGCCTGGCATTCCAAGCACTGAAAGATTCTCAGGCCATCATGAGGCAGAAGAGAACATGTGGCACATACAGCACATGAGTTACTTTAATGCTGTCAGTGGCAGGTAACTGACATAGCTATGGAGGAAGATTTCAAGACCAAGTCAAACCTATTCAAACTTTCTTTGCCCTTTTTCTTTTTTGTTCAACTTTTACGGTACATTCTCTATCAGAGAGATACTCAGAGATCTAAGCTAAGGCTGACGTCTTCATGTGCTGAACACCACAGACATACACAAGTAGTTCCTTCCCTGAAAACTTTACTGGAAGAAAAAAAAAACAGAACCCAAACAAACAAATGGGTGGAAGGGGGGGGAGGGAGGGGAAGAAAAAAAGTAAAAAAAAAGGAGAGTGAAGGACAAGCATTCCTGCCTTTAAAAAATGAGAATTAATGAACATGTGGTTACAGAAAGTTTAAACTAACTTGTCCTGTTCCACAAGGAAAACCCTCAACAAAACTAGTGAGAGTAGTCATGGATCAAGTAAGTCCCTCTGTAATACAAATTACAAGAAACATCCTTCCAACACTTGACATGAAGTTTTGACATAGATCATCTGTGCATGAAACTGAAATTGCTTTAGCTTTACTCAATGATTACAGCTGAATTGGGACTACAGGATTTCTCCTGCTCCAGGATCAGGCTCTTCAGCCAGTGTCAGTATACAGACTTTCCTGGAAGGTTAGCAGAGGGCAACTGCAGGACAAATTAACTGTGTAAGACAAAAAGCAACAAGAGCTTCAAGTGAAATGTTTTACTCAGAGTGAAAACAGTTTTACATATTGTTTTTATAGTGTGTCTTCACAGTCTACTTCTACTCTTTGGTAGTTCCAGCCCAGCTTTTTGTTTACCAGCAAGAAATCTTTGAGTCGCTTGGCTTCTGGATTCCTGAACTCTGAACAGTCCATCCATGACTCCAGCAGATGCTCGTGTTCACACCAAAAGGCAACTAGGAAGTTAGAGGCCAAAAGGAGACTGGTAAGTCAGACAGAAGGCCCTTCATCTTTGAGTCACCATGACAGTGCATTTCCAAAGAGGATGGCTTTTGCTGACCATTCCTTTGGCCTGAGTGACCTTTCTTTCAGAACATATTTTAAATCTCTGTCCTCCTTATTTATGCGATTCTATTCTTTTTAGCACAATGCAAACAGTGGGGAAAAAAATACACAACTCCTTCAAGGCGTGTTCCCAAAGGTATCTGAAAAACAGATTTCCCTAGATAGGCCTGAATCCCATTCTAATTTTACACAAGCATTAAGAGACCATTTCTACTGATTGGGTGACATGCTTGAGAAAGTATGCAATATGTTCAAGACTTATTTGTGCATATGCTGCTCTCTGTAAGGATAGGGTAATCTAGCTTTTAGAAAGAATGAACTGAGGTCTTGACAGCTTAGAGTTACCAATAATTACACAGGGCTTTTCAAAGAGTATGGAGCAATATGCTTATTTAAACCTTAGTCAGAGCACACACATAATCCTGTTTCATATGCCAAAATCACCCCTAAAATTCACGTTAAAAACAGTGTCATTTCTCATTTGCTACCCTGTTGTTGCCTTTGTGCCAGTAATCTCCACAAGGTAAAAATGACCCAGGTGAAGCTGCATTAAAGGTGTGACCCTAACACAGATACCTTTGCAAGCTTTCTGACAGCCATAAAAGTATCTGGAAAATATATTCAAATGTAATCTACACATTCTGATTAATACTTTGAAATTAGTTTTGCCAAGACTACTATTTCACAGAACATATGTTTGTGGTAAAGCCATCACTGGTACACCCGAACTCAATTTCCACCTGGCAAATGACAATGAGAGTTCCTAAAATTAAAGCTATTCCACCAGAGATTATAACAAGGGATTCTGTCAAGAATTACTTACTCCTACCTGCATGTGGAGAAAATCATTTAAAGAACAAGTTCTGAACTGCTAAATTAAATATATGTATGTGTGTGTGTATATATATATAGGTTGAAAGTCATCTAGACAGATAGAGGTGAACAACCCAGGAGAAGGTGAGGTGTTTCTCCTGAAAGGGATCTGTTGTGGCACCAGATGAGTCAAGATCAGGGAAGCTGACCTGAGCTAGAAAGACCCCACAGTTCTAGAGATGGGACATGAACATCACGGGAGCAGGTTTCTACCCAGGCCCCTCATGAAGGCTCAACCTCAGACCAGAGTAAAGGGTTAAAAAAACTGCAGCAGAGACTTGCCAACTTTTATTCTGTCTGCAGAGACAAGACCTGAACATTTCTTCAGAATTCTGTGCAAAGTTTAAAGGATTAACTCTTACACAGCTAGAAACAGAAAGGCTTAAGCTGTGAGGAAATCCAGCAACAAGACAACCAGGCTGCAAGGTGTAGCTTTCAAAGAATGACAGGTAAAAAATCTGCACACCAAAGGGTGGTGGAGAGCTACCAGCCAGCTCCTGAACACCAGGCAGCTACCCAGGCCTCAGCACACCAGGTCACAGTGGACCAGGACCCAGCACAGCAGTTTGGTAAACTTCCAAACTGAGGAGAGAGAGGAAAGAAAAATACACAGCACTTGACTAAGGTTGCAAAACTAATGTTTTAATTGCTGAACTTCATTAAGGTCCCTAGATGACAGGCGCAGCAGAAATGCTTGCTCCTATTAGTCCAGCTCCTGCTGTGCTCCCTTACTGTTCTTTTTGTCACTCTGGAAGAGAAAGAGGTGTTGTCAAGCAAAGTGGCAGCTTACGCAGCATATTATGCTGTTTTTTCCCCCACAGCACTTTTCATGATTGCTGTAAGAACTGTAGTTTTTCAATTAACATAAGTAAAACTACAGCTTAATTCAATATGATTTCAAAGTGACTTAAGGCATGAACATTAACTAATGGTTATAGACGGCTTATCAGTGCAAGGACTTAATGTCAGAATGAGGAAAGTTACAAATTGAGATTTCTGCTATGTTTAACAGAAAATTTAAGCACAGGAACACGCACAGGGACATGCATCCTCTCACGAACTCAAACACAGCCCAGGAGAAAGTGAAGTTAACACCCATCTGGTGGCTGACCCTATTACACAGAAAGGCTGATGCCTTCTTAGAGCTCCATACAGATGCCATTGAAAACCTGGTCCTTGGTTACTTCAGTCTGTCATATTTCCCAACACAATTTCTGACAGATAACTGCATTTGCTACTCCCATTCTTAAAAACATGTTGTTCTGCATGAGTAGCAATACTACATATTTCATCCTAGAACTGTATTGTAAGAAAAGGTTAAATCAATACCTGTCCTCCCCCCTTCATTTTCTGTTTTAAACATGACCTTCCCTCTTGAAAAAGCTGTACTCCAGGTCTCATGGTTCAGAAATCTGCTGAACTACACACTAGTCCCAAGTGTATCTTTCCTGCATATTCCCTGGAAGTTTCCAGTACTGGATGCTACAGCCCAAGACCGCTCAAAACTCCTACTGAACCTGACAGAGAATCACACCATGATGGACAATCAACACTGAAGGCAGTAAAGAAAGATTGGAGATTCCTTCAAGTATTTAAAAAACCGGTAGCATGGAGCACTGTAAGTTAGTCTTGATTTTCTCCTTCATCTCAATCAGCAAATGAACTCAAGACAAACTTTTTAGCTTAAATGACTTCACAGAGCCGTTATTTATACTACCAGACATTCAGACTCAGCAAAAGGGAAAATTTATAGCTAGATGAGTGGATGCACAACTAAATTGCGATAACCTGGATATAACTAAAAACAGTAGACGTAGGATGTCAAATAAAATTATCAGAGGTTGTTAAATACTCTGATTTAATGCCCCAGTACACACACTCCACAGCTTCCTTTGTACAAAACATAAGCAACTGTTTGAACTACAAGTTAACAAGACTGCCTTAGTTTTATTTAGAAGTGAAATCAGTCTTGCCAGAGTATCATTTTAATGGAGCAGTTACACCCCAGGTATTCCTAACCAGCTCAACAATAACTTGGTGCAAAGCTCACAGCTCTGAAGAGATGCCAGCCTTTGGTTTATGTACCTGCCCAGAAAATAATCTGTAGTTTTATCATACTGGGCTGTTCAATCCATTTTTACTTTGCTCTAATTCACAGAAACTAAGGGAATTCCCAAAATGCTTCTGAGGTGCTGCACGTTAACATAGTCATAAATTAAATTCTTAACACATTTTCATTTACATCCTCTCACAACCTTCTCAACTCTCACCAAACACTTTAGGCCACTAATCCCAAAGTGTTCCTTGTAACAGGCTCATATAGTAGGGTTGTGGTCTAAACCCAGCCAGTAACTCAGCACCACGCAGCCACCCACACTTCTCCTTTCTCCCCTCCTCCAGGTGGGATGAGGAGAATCAAAAGAATGTAAAACCCAAGAGTTGAGGTAAGAACAGTCCAATAACTAAAGTACAATATAGTGATAATAGAAAGAATACCAACAATAACAATAATGATAATAATAGGAAAGAACAAGAGAAGTAATGAAAACTCAGTAAACAGCAGTGATTCTCAAAACAACTGCTCACCACCTGGCGACCAATACCCAGCCCAACCCGCGCAGCAACCTGGGCCTTCCGGATAACTCCCCCCAGTTTATACACTGGGCATGACGTGCTGTGGCATGGAATACCCCTTTGGCTAGTTTGGGTCAGGTGTCCTGTCTCTGCTTCCTCTTGGGTTCTTGTCCCCCTCCTCACTGGCAGAGCATGAGAGACTGAAAAGTTTCAGTCCTTGACCAGGGTAAGCGCTACTTAGCAACAACTAAAACATCAGCATGTTATCAGCATTGTTCTCAGACTAAAGCTAAAACACAGCACTGTACCAGCTACTAGGAAGAAAAATAAGTGTCACAGCTGAAACCAGGACAAGTAGAAATAGCAGTTAGAGAAAATAAAGTGTTGGGGGGTTTGCTACACCTGAAGAATCAGCTCATTGACCTGTAAGCACTCACTTATTCTTCCACGTACTAAAAAGGAGACCTGGTGATGTTACCGGCCAAACAGGTAACAATTCTAATAGCTCCTCTTTGACTGAGATACCACATGTTCACGCACTACTGCTTATCCCAACACTGTCTCTCTATAGATACAATACACAAGAGTAAACATGTTGAAAAAGCCTGATATATAAAAACTAGATAAGGAGAGAAAACTTAATTATAAAATCACTTCAACATAGAAACATGACATTTCTAGGGGAAAAAAAGATCCATCTCATCAACTCTTTCTAGAAATTTAATTTCCTTTACTGTTAGAAAACAGTTCAGACACAAGGGATTTAAAGTTCTTAACAACTAAAAATCTTGATATTATTAGTTTTGAAGAACCTGTCATCATATATGCTGAAGCAGAATTCCTAGACCTACTGATGTGTAAGTTTTGGAATAAAATCAAACTGCAACCACATCCAGACACGTCACTTTCACATTTGGATATGTTATTTGAATATTAAAAAAAACAACCACCAAACAAAACAAAACCAAAACCAGAAACCTATGACACACCCATTACATTTGCAGCTACACTGTAAATTGGCTCAAGTTAAGAAAGCCCAGACCAAACTATGAGAAAGAACAGGAAATTGGAAACAAACAAAGAAAGAAAAAAAATCACTCTCTGAAATTAAATTCTTGCTTTTTAGCTACACCAATTATTTTTATTGTGTTTATACACATCCTCTCTTGCAAACAAGAGTTTACACGTTACTGTATTAGCTTATAGAGAGACAAACTTCTGCTCACACTGATTCTGCCACAGAGCTAACAAAAATACCTTCAGAATCTCAGCTCTTCAGCTCACACTAAGGCTTACCAATTTTATACCACTTTAATTTTAATATTATTAGCAATAAGTATTATGTAGCGTAAGTAAAAATGACTAAGTAATCAGATTTTTGGAACTTTACAGCAGCTATCAATTCCCGTCTTCATCTCCTACAGTGCTTCATCCTTTTCCTTCACACTAGCTCTGAAATGGATATGAAAAAATATTTCATTATCTATCCACAGAAACAATAACATTTTTGATAAATTATCAGATGTATTGGTTTTGTGCTCCCCATTCCTCTTGCCACCCTCATCATGTCAGTGAGGTTATCCGTTCTCTGTGGCTGAAGGTAAAATGCCTGTCCACTACCAAAAATATAATTCACTATGAGTAATGCTATCACAAGTATTTGTTTTCTTGAACTAACATGTTCAGAATAGCAGTTCAGATAAAGCTGGCATGGATTTTTATATCTGTATTACAAAGTGTCCTTGATTCTGTTGACAGTTCCTCTCCTTTTGGGAAAGGATTAGGTGCATGTTCCAGCATTGCCATGAGCAACCACAGAAGACGGAAACTTTCAGCTGAATCCCAAAATTGTAAAATGTGGGGAGATGCTTGTTTAAGGGATGCCAGAACCTGAGAGGGAGAGCTTTGATACCTCTTCCATATATAACTGCTTTACAACTTTTTTCCATTCTCTTTCTTGCTGAGCTCTGCTTCTTGTATAGCTGTTATTCTCTGAAATTAATCTTCTCTCATTACTATGTTATGTCCCACTGAATACTAATGGGACTGATTCTGCAACTTATCCACCAAAAAACTACTTTAGTCTCCCAGTTTACAGTTCTGAAGTACAAGCAGGTTCTAAGCAGCCTAAACAAATAGGTGTGTTATTTGAAGAGTGCAGAAAGTTTTGCAAAAAAAACCTGCAAATTCATATGGCTGATCCCACAGGCAAGGCATTAAAAATTTAAAGAAAGCAAACAAACCAAAGAAACAAAACCCAAGAGCAAACACACACACACTAGCTGAAGTTTTCCCTCTAATTTTTATTTTATTCTAAAATGTTAAAAATAAAATATACATTAAAACAGAGACCCACCATAGTAAACTGTAAGAAAAAAACCTAAGTTGAGCTTAAAGGTTATACTACAATGATTTTTTTAAAAAACATTCAAGGTAAGAAGATGATAAGGGACAAATCGTACAATGAAGAGGGTAAATTTACTGAATCTCCTGATAGAACTTCTTTTTTCAGGGGGTGGAGGGAAATCAGCTTAGGCATTTTGATTGGATTTTAGGCCCCTGTTCTGTAATTCCTGGTTCACACCTGATCAAAAACATGACTATTATGATAATGTCAAAATACCACAAAGGCAGAGTTTGCTTATTATTAAATGCTACTAAGCAGGAGAGGTTTGGTTTTAGACTTGTCAAACTCAAGTAACAAAGTAAAACTTTGCACCCAGAAAGCTTAACCACATTAAAGCAAGGTCTGAAAAAAATTCCTTTTAATTAGCAGTCATAATTTCCTACATCTTGTTTAAGACCTACTAAGATCTGTCAGATAATTACCCCAAGACATACCTAAAACACCATATTCAGAAAGGGAGCTGTTACACACGGTATAGGGGGCCTGCTGCTCCCAGAGATGATTCATGGGAACACACGTTCTCTTGTCAACTTCTTGATCATGAAGCACATGATGACGATGGCTGCAAATAGTTGTTGAAAGCAATTTATTAGTTTAGGGCTTTAACAGACCTATTTTGAAAGACAAACCTTCAACCCTATGTCCTAGAAAGCACGCAAGCAACATAGTTACCTTTGCTTTACACACAACCCTGGTTTGGCTGAAATCTAGTGATACAGTTACCTGTCTAAATACAATTGCGGCACTATAGGGACTTTGACTATACAAGCTTGATTTCAAGCACTCACGGAAACTGAAAATACCTTGTCCCTAGAAGAACTAGGGGGAAGGGGAAAAGGAGTACGGAGGTTGTTGCTATAGAACAGACCATTTAAAGTAAAAAAAAACAAAAAAAAACAAACAAAAAAAAAAACAAAAAACCCAAACAAAACCAAATGAAAACCCAAACAAACAAACAAAAGGATGAATAAAATTTTTATTAAAAGCGTTTCACTTTACCTCCCTGGCAAATTCTATTAATCTTTTCCTTAAATAAACTGTTGTCTTTTATGCAAAAATGTAATCAAATGAAATCTCAGCACAAAGACTTGAAGCAGTTGTATCCTCTTTCCTGTTATTTCCATTCACATGCACCATTTACAGTTCTATAGAACACCATTAATCAACATTAGAATGAGGCACAGAGGAATGCTACCAAAACAGAGATGACTGAAGTAATTACTGTAATCCATTAACTCCCTGAGCAGACTAACTGAGTGAATCACACCAATATGTCCAGCTTTACAACTGCTAACATAAGGACAGTTATTATACTGGTAACAACTACTGTGTGTTGTATAGATGCCAACACTGAACTGGTGACTGAATCTTTTTGTGCTTCCCTTTGCTATAAAACAAATGGTAGCAAAAGAGCTCTGAAATTTATTTAGCAGTCAACAATATAAGGCCAGGAAAACACAGAATATTTGAAGCAAAGCATAGGGAGGGAAGTAGACAGAAAGGGGAAAACAGACATACTAGACAGCTGTTAAGCAGAAAATCTTTTTGCCACCATTATGTTATTTTTGCCATTCAGCCAAAGATAGAAGGCCTAGCTAGGCGATAAGCTTCTTCAGCACAAAGTTTTGTGTTTCCCCAGAAAAAGGTGATTACAATGAGCATAGACAGACAGCCAGAAATGTACATACAAGCCAGATAATTGCTGCTGTGCAATTCTCAGGTTTACTGACATCAAATCAGTACAAAATCAAGTCTCTCTCTTCCCCTTTCTTTCCCTTCTCCAGAGTGTGTCTCCAAGATGAGAAGGGGCCCAGTGGTTCTATCTGCAGCTTTATCCAGCTTCTGCCTATTGATAAGACTAATAAAATCCAGATGGCACATGAATCCTTAGCTAGTCTTCAACAACTTGAATAAGTTTTTATTTGAACAAGTTTTTTATTTTTTTCCCTATGCTGCTGTGAGCATAACAATTATTTTTATCTTAAACATCAAGAAAAACCTGGATGACTGTTCTGGAAAATCCTCTTCCACCAAAGCAAAGAACTGAGAATACTATTCTCATGACAAGTCTATAGGTGTGTGCTAGATACAACTAGGTTCCCTCCTGAAACAAGTCAGTAGTCTGCTCAACAATGAACATGTATGTTCCTCTCCTAGGAGAGGATCACCACTTTACAAGACCACAGTACTGAAGTGAATGAGGATAAGAAATCAGAGGGGTAGGGGGTGGAAATGTCACGATTTTCAGTTTTGTTTTCATGTCTTGTCCAAAGGATTTTGTTAAACATGCCATTTTTTTATAGGAGCAAAAGAAGAATGTCCAAAAGACTGGATACTAAATGAACCTCAGCACAGAAACACAGCACTGTTCCAGAGAAGACAGGCACTGAAATTTATCTCTCTTTTCTGCAAGCATTCACAATGAAGCACAGTGCAGCTGCTAGTTCATTCACCCCCAGCAATGAGCTTCACATCAAAGGCTGCAATTAAACACATCGTTAACATGTTACTCCATGGAGAATCAGGTAAGGCAGAACTGTATATACTTTAACGAATTATCAGATTCTGCATTCCTTCAAGCTCCATAGTCATATGTAGTCTCAGTACAAAGGACCTTATTTCACTTTAAAAAGGCTTGCCAATTATCAACATGTTTGCTCACAGGATACCCAAGCTTCAGGTAGCCACCACTGGAATGGTATTTAAAAGACTACATGATCTGCATCAACAAATACCCTTCTTTTACTTCTCAGCAATTGGATGAATTGCAGCTGAATTTTTAGTTAAAAAGCAGAAAGAAAAAATACATATTTCTCTTTTTCAGCAAAAAAAGGAAGAAAATATCTAAGAACATTTGCTCTGCTTTAAATACAATTCTTTAAAATGCTGCATACAGAGACACAGGAGATTCGATTACTCCTGAGTGCCAGAATGCAGAACATTCAGACTGATGCTGAACAGCCCCAACTTGCCCCTCCCCACAGATCACCATACTGTTTGAAAAATGCCAAGGTGTTTCTTTAAGTATGGGACAGCATTTAACAGTTATCATTGTACTCACCTAAAAGTACCCCTCTCCACATCCTGTCCGCTTAGTCGGACGTGGATTCCTTCTTTTAGAAAAGAGCCAAAAGCCATGTATTCTGCTAAGGCCCAGTCAACTACCCTGTTCTTGGTCATTTCCAAGCGGGCTCTCAAAATCCGAGAGAGTCCTATATAGGAATAAATATCAAAAATCAATGGACTTACTTGAGAGGTCTTTTATATTCATATTATATTCACCATCCTCCTTCCCCACTGGCTAACTCAAACATAGATCCTAATAGGGTCGACAAGTTGTTCTTCTAGAATTAAGGTGCTAGCAAAGTAAAATAACTTGTTTCCTAGGCAAAGCGTTGCATAATGTTCATACCTTGGTTTAGAAGAAGAAAATAAGACTGGCTGTGTCAGAAACTACTGAGGACAATAAAAAAAGACTCATGGTGAAATACTTCTTCCTAAAGATTTATTTTCACACCTCTAACACCAAGTACTGTTTTATAAGAGACTGAAAATATCGGCTATTGGGTTCATGATTTTTTTTTTTTCTTCTCTCTTTCTCACTCTCATTTTTCCTTGGCATTTGTCTTACTGGACTTCTGGAGATGCTGCAAAGTGAAACAGGATGGATTGATCAATACTACGAATACCATATAAATGGGAAATTTGTAGCAGCTGCCAACAGCTTTTCAGTTGGCAAACAACAGCTGTTTTCTTACAGTGAAGGTTTTATAACTTGGTAAGACAAAACACAAGTTAGATATATTCCCACATAGAAAGTTATCTAACTACAAGAAAAGTGTCATAGGTGCACCTCATATTACCACTGGTTTTAGCGTTAAAAAAAACACATTAATAGTGCTTCCTGAGATGGGTGCCTTACTTTCCAGTAAGTCCACAAACCTGCTGCATAGAGGCAGCATTTTCCACAAGGACTTGAAGAATGAAAGGAGGTGTTAACATTATAAAGAGACTTTTACCACCCTCAGAGGAAAATCTCATTAAAATGAGGTAAGGACCAGAAGTGGCCTGATACTGAAAGAACATTATGCTGAGAATAAGCAGCAGGATGTTAACTGTCACATTCTCCTTGCCCATAGGATGGAAGAGTTAAAATAAAAGTCACAGGCATTTTCCTCTTTAGAAAACGACCCAGCAGCAGAAATATAAAATCTGAGCAAGAAACCCAGCCACCAGGAGAAATGAAGAATATAGCTGACCTGCATGTATTTTGAAGTCTTTGACTGGCACTGAACTCGCTACATTGCCAATATGAGTCAGCAGGTCTTCTGAAATGCCAGTTGGAGGACAAGACATACTCTTGGGTTCTCCATCCACATTAAAGAATCCTGGAAGTAAAAAAATGTAGTGAGATGTTCAAGGACTGATCAAGATATACCTACACTATCTACAACTAATTTAAAAACTCACAACTCTTAAGACATTCTAAGCAGCAATCTAAACCTAGTTCTTCACCTTTCACTGGGAGACAGGATCGTTTTGATTATATGACAACAGAACTTAATCTTACAGGTACACAATGATTTTCTTTGTTTCTGTCTTTACTCCCTGTGAAGTCCAACTATGTGGGCAGAGGCAGCCAATAAAAGGCATATGGCACTTCAATCCCTCAAAAAAAAATAATCTCTGAAGGCAGAGACACTATTAATATTACAGGAAAAACACTTCTCTACTAAACTGAAAAGATATCTTTTTCAAAGTCACACCTTACTTTCCATAGTTTTTAACAAAAGCATCTCTTCCAAGCTGATCTGGCAGAATGTTTTATTTACTATTAACAGGGGCAAAACAAAGGTCACATATTCTGTTTTAAAGGAACACTGTCTGATAAAAAGAATTTAAGAGTCCTAGAATATGGACTTAAAATAAAAGCACAACAATATTAACACTAGGATAAGTGAAAGGACGCTCCTCACCAGGCCAAGGTGAATCGAGCCAGTGCTTGATATGTAGGATCTTATTATCTTTAGATCTAGTATATGCTTCTTCACATATTCTATCATACTTTGCAATTTCTTCCTGTAAAACAAAAACTCTCATTTTAAAACAGATAAACGTAACACCTTTGTATCTCACAGATGAGACCTATCACTCAGTATAAAACGCCCAGTTATTTAACTTCTGAAGAAAATCACAATTATGCAAACAATTCAATTTTATCTAGGATCAAATTGCCTTCTAGAGACATGCTTACCCACATTACTCTAAATAAATTATTTAGTTTATTAAACAAGTGCTACAAAGGAGAGTACCAAGAGCTGAATTTGTAAGTATTACTCTAGAATGAGACAGAACTGAAGTATCAAACATAGCTGACAGTCACATTTAAGCAAACATTATACAATGCCATTCATGTCTTCCTACTGACAGTTTCTTAAGTTTGCTTTAACTCTGCCAATATGTACCTCAAACTCCTGGAGTGTTACAGTCCCATCTGCAATCAGTTTGTCAGCATACTTCTTCAGCACTGGCACCTGCTTATGAATCTGCTTGTACATTAGAGGCTGGGTGAACATCGGTTCATCCATTTCATTGTGCCCCCTCCTACGGTAGCAAACCTACAACGGGAAAGATTGTTTCTGTCAGTAGGAAGAAATGTAAAATGCAATCTTTCCATTTAATAGTTTTACAGAGATTTTAGGAGGTTTTAGGAGGTATAAAAACAATTATGGATTCTTGTGGACCTATTACTGTTTTGCTTTGTTTAAATAAAGAAACTAAAGGCCATTAAAATCAAAGTATGTTTCTTTACTGGGTCTTCTAACCCACATAAAAACAAGAGAGTAGTACATAATACACAGAATGAAAAAAACCAAGACCTACCAAGTCAACCACCACATCTTTATTGAATGTGTTTCGCCATTCTGCAGCTACACTGCACACATACATTACTGCTTCAGGGTCATCAGCATTCACATGAAAAATGGGAGCATTGACCACACGAGCAACATCAGTAGGATATGGAGATGAACGGGCCATACGGGGATCTGTGGTGAAGCCAATCTAAAAATTCCAGAAACTTCCATTAAAATAAGTTGGGCATCACCCCCTACTTTGTTTAAAATATTTAAGATTTTCATTTAATAGTCATTTATACAGCAGTAGTATCAGCTTTTCATTTTGGCTAGCTAGCTACATTTTGTTTCCTTAAAAACAAACAAAACAAACACTTAATTCACAAATGGAATGAAATAAATATAGGTAATAAAATATTATTCAGTAAGAGTTGCTAGATACTATGATAATTTTCAGAAACATCCTAACCATTCTAATGAACAGAGGGGACAATGCACCCAACTAATGAAAACAAAAATAAAACCAAATACACTAGCAACTATTCAGAAAACAAACTGATTGGAAAATGCTCTACTTGTTACCTGGTTGTTGACCACAACGTGAATAGTGCCATTCGTGGTATAAGATGGCAGGTCACTAAGATGAAATGTCTCATAAACCACTCCTTGTCCTGCAAAGGCAGCATCCCCATGCAATAATATGGACATAACCTAAAGGAAGAATTATACATACATATCCACACACATATATTAGAAAGCAAAACTGCAATTTAATCCTCTCAGCAGGATTTTTTTGCTCCATATTTCTGTAATGCTTATAAAATAGAACTGTCTTTTTATAATAAACCAGAGAATTCTCATCATTCTGCTGTCTTTGCTTAGTTCACAAATGAAAGAAAGTTTAAGCCTACTTCCTGAAGTTACCCTTGAGGTAGCATGTCAAAAACCTTATCTAGTTCAACAGGTGATATATCCCTTTTGTGTAAGAGGAAAAGAGAAAGACTCCGTGATACAAAACTACTCATAAGCTATTCTTATTAAAAAAAATGAAAAGCTATCAATAAGTGTTACTACATTAAACAATATTTACCTTCTTCCCTGCTGTATCTCCCCGATAAAACTGTTCAGCTTTTGTTTTCCCTTGCACAACGGGATCAACTGCTTCCAAGTGAGAAGGGTTAGCCATCAGGGACAGAGTGATTTTCTTGTTTGTTGCTCTGTTGATCCTCTCATGGTACATTCCCAGATGATATTTTACATCCCCAGAACCCTAACATACAAAACATAGTCACAATTCAGAAATGCCATTTATATCAGTTGGATCCTCTTGACTACACCAAAAAGTTGTGCTTTCAGTCTGAAAAATGCATCTTGCTAACTGTACCTCAATATGTACTATGAGCATGACACCATAATTTCAAACTGGAGCATTGCACCTATTTTATTTTCAGATAAATATTTACAAAATATCAACCCTCCTTTCATTTATATAACACAAAGAAATATGCTTAGGGATTACAAACTCAGACAAATGACCTGGAACTTAACTATCCATAATCATTCCTGAGATACCTTCTGCGTATTAGAGGTACAGTACAGTCTTTAAATTTGTTAAGAAACTTTGCCAAATCATATTGCTCAAACTACAAAAGATGACATGCATTTCAGCAGCTGACAATGCTCTTTTCATAATAAACATGAGCAAAATGACTATAACACTACCTTGAATGTTGACCTCTCTACACAGATCTATTGGAGAAGCGTCTTACCTCATCAGCTGCTTCAAGTTTAGGATCAAACTGACAGAAGATCTGCTCCAGCTCTTTTCGGATTACATTAGCCAACACATTCAGTCTACCTCTAAAAAAAATTCCAAACACAGTTATGCCTCAAAAATGGTAATAATAGAGTGAGCAGAATGGAGCTTATAAAATCAGCAAGCCATCCTGTCAGCAATTCACAAGAAGTTCACTTTGAACTTTTGAACCTGAAACCCTTCATTCTACCCTTCTTCCCATTGCAAAGCTCCTCCTTGTTTACCCAAGTAGGCGCGATGAATTTTGTAGCTATCTAACAGTCTTAATATAATGACATTAATAATTAATTAAAGGCAGACTGCAAAAGTAAGTTTGATACTATCTTGCCAAGCCATCTCAGTTCTAGACTCTATGCAATGGGATAGATACCATTGCTGCTGCCCCATTTGCTTGCAGCTTCAAAGAACACTGAAGAGAGTTTTGCTAGCATTTACCCTTTGAAGCCTGTAGCCCTCACTGACAGGTATTTGTTATGGTTCTGTGTTTCCATTACTTGCTACGTCCAACTCTTGCTACACTAGATGCTCTTAATATCAAGTTCCTTAATAAACTTCTAGAACTCAAAACTTGTTTTAAGACTCATCTGCTGGGAGGTACCGGGAGGTATCCATCAACATTACCTATGAGGCATCCCCATTATAACATATTCAATTCCCATTTCACTGGATTTGTCAATGATGGTCTTAAGTGCAGGAATCATTACTTCACATCCTTCCAAACCAAATCTCTTTTCGGAAGACCACTTGCGAGCAAGGAAGTCTTCAAATCTTTGCCAAAAAGAAAACAAAACAAAACATAACCAAAACAAGAAACAGTGTTTATATTAAGCTGATGTAACAAAATCTTATTTGTTGTTAAAACATCCTTTAGCAAATTACATTACACTGTTTTAAAACATATGTGAATACACATGCTTTTAGGCCTATGGAAGCAAGCCACGTGTAGAGAGGAGACATATGAGAAAATTAAGCAATCTTGCTGGGACCTTGAAACAATTCAGACAGGAGGATGAGTCTCCACTTCAGACAAAATTCACTTCCCAAGTTAAACTCTGCTTCTTCCTATGTACACAAAACATATACTGCCAACTGGGAAGGCTGAGTGATGCAAAGAAGTCTCTTCTATGGACTAAAGAAAACAGAACAGAGCCTGCATTTTCTGGAAGTAATAATTAAATGCTTGTAGAAAACCACAGTAGAAAGCACACCTACTTCACAGGGCCTATTCAACAGCAGGGCTCCTCTCAGACCATGTGATGTAACAGTTGGTAATGTGCCAGAAAGAGCTAGGACACTGGTATTTCTGCCTCAGCTTCAGCTGGAGAAAGATGTCAATCCCAGACAGCTCTATGTTCTTTCATTCTTTAATGCATTTGGACCAGAGGCAATGTGAGCGTTTAAAAAGTACTTTTTAACAGACATTGAAAGGATTATATGTTGTAAAGCTTGGGGATACGAAAGGCAAAGAAAATACATCTTCATGAAAATAACTGTATTGGTTAAGTCATCTGTGCAATGCTTCAACTCATAACACTGCCATAATCCATTAATACTTGCCCTATTCCTCACTTAGAATGCTGACATTTACCTCTTTAGATTGAAGTCCTAAAAGCAGTGAAATGAAGAGCTGCTGAAAGACTTTCCTTACCTCGCCCATCAATATACCCTTACAATTCAACCATCCAAGCAACAAGCCAGACCCTCAGCTGAGTTATGCTATCAGAATTCCTCAGGGAAGTTTGATGGGCTATGCCAGTTTATACAAACTGCAAGTGAAGTCCCATGTGAACAGCAAGTCCCACATGACAAATCAAAGTGGTGTACACACTGTTTTCCTCCTTACTGCTGCAGCAAGCCAGTACTGGACAAGCAGAAAGTTCATTATTTGAGGCAAACTGCCACTATTACAGAACTACACTGTTTCACAGTCGCATCTGTGGGGTTTACATTCTTTCTGCTCTCCTCCCCATCCCACCTGGGGAGGGGAAAAGGGACAGGGGTGAGCAGGCAGCTGGGTGGGATTGAGTTAAGTGGCTGGGCTTAAACTACGACACATTGTTTACTAATGCATACACACAGTAGCTCAAAGATATACAGAGAGTACTTCTACAGGAGGAATAGTTAAAAATGACCCTTTGTTCAATAACATACAGTGAACAGGATGAGAACATACAGAGAACAAAGGATGAGAAATCTGACTTTAAAATTCAGTTTGGAGTACTGAACTATGTAGTACTTGGAATTAACATTTTTGAAAATGGTATTCTTGAGCAAAATTATTACTATCTGCTTTACAAAGCTACAAATCTCAAGAGCACAACCAGAAATTTGGCAGAAGATGAATGTTTGGCTCCTTCAGGCTTCTAGAAACCCCACGTCTTTCCACAGCTTACACAGGAATGAAAGCAGAATTCTTGCCTCAAGATAAATGGAGATGCTGAGGGCTTGTTAAACAAACTTACTCAAGTGCAATATTCACCTGACCACTAAGTGACTTTTTTTATTTCTGTTTAAATTAAACTTTTAATGAGACAATCTTGCTATAATATTGGCAAACAAAATACCTGGCAAAAAATACCTTCCAACACCTTCAATAAGTGTTTCATTTTTAAATCTTTTAAAATAGAAGCTTAGCACAAAAATGTATTTTTATAAATTTCTAACTCTTGTGTTTATCAAAAGGATATACAAACTGTTTCAAATTGTAAGAACTGTAATAAATCAGGTGCCTGAGAATACACTCTTGTTCTAGGGGCAAGACGGTAATTCAGTCTCTGGGATCACAGTATTTCCATACAGATTGCCACAGTGGAAGAGATCAATAAGCTGTTTCCAAGCATGCATTCATATATTGCAGAGACCAAAACCCCTGCTGCCAGGTCATGCAACCATACAGCACATCTTGGCATAACTCAAAAGGAAAATGGAGAAAACAGGACTTGAAATCACATTATGCCTCTCAAACCCAGTCCCATCCTGGCACAGCTTTCCAAAGAAACTGTTACCATCCCAGCAAGTCAAACAATGCTCATGTCAACACTTCACCCATAGAATTGTAGAATGGTTGGGGTTGGAAGCGATCTTAAGATCATCTAGTTCCAATCCCCCTGCAATGGGCAGGGACACCTCACCCATCTAAAAATTCTTCCTGAGCTGACCATTGGGATGGCTTCCTTTGATCATGGTGCTACAAAGATGCACAGTAGATAGCATACAGCAGCAGATCAGTATCCAGTGTTGTTCTGACACCTATTTTCTGAAATTATGAATCTATAGTACAGATGCATAATACTAGTCTGTTGAAACATTTTTTTCCCCAGCTTATCTCTGCAAGCCGATGAAAACATTGCCAGATACGGCACTAAAGGCTGCACAAGTGTTACAGAACAACTTGCCTTTTAAGGAAATGGAATACTAACATTCCCTACACAGACCCTGACCCCACCTCACAGCACACACTTCCCTTTGGTATCACAGCCAGATTAAGTACACCCACTTGTACTCGATTTCACTTACTCTTCACCTCCACCTCAGCAATTTACAGACCACACTAGCTTCCCACACCAGCTTACATCCAGCAGTCATAGAGCAGTCCCAAGTGTCACCCCAGAATACCTCATTGAGCGCACCAGCCTTGCTAACAAAGTCCTTTTTTCCTCATTAGTGAACTTCATAACTCCCGGGGTCTCAAATTTCTGCCGGATCCATTGGCACTGCTCCACATCATTGATGAACATAAACTCCAAGCCAATGTGTTGGCAGTAGGTATTCTAGGACGTGAAAACAGCAACACATACGCTTTGGAAGTTAGTGAGCCATGAAGAAACAAATATATTTTTCAAATTACATTTTCTGCATATATTATTTCTCTGAAAGCTATCTTTGTCTTCTTCCTCTTCCACTGTATCTTTCCCACAGTAATCCTATAAGCAAACATATTATTTTACTGAATCTAGTTCTGTGCCAGAAAACTTTCTCTACAAGGTAACATTTCAAAATTTGGAATCTGGAAGATTCTCATTTGGTTATACATTCAAGATAGGCCAATAAACCTGCCTTAAACTGACTGGCATATTTCACCTAACTCACTACTGTTCTTGAAGGCGTAATAGTCTTTGCTTTAGATGCACCAGCAGCAAGGATTTCATGACATTCATCAAAATTTACCCTTTTTTAAATGTCACCTGAAATCAAGCCATAAAGACAATGAGAGGACAGCTATGAAGCCTCATGCAAATTATCTGGTAACTGTCAAGTCTAAGAAGACTGGAAATCTCAAAAAAGAAGCCAAGCAGCTGAGAGCAGAGAAAGGGTAGGGAAAAAATTCAAAGACATTTCAGAAGTTTTACCTGCCTGCTGCATTTTTTCATTTTCTTTTTCTTACCTTAGAATATTTCTCCATAAAAATGTGTCCAAAATCCAGGTCAACAGAACTAAGACCCAATTTGAGTTTGATTTGAGACAAACCCACACTGAACACATCAGTGTGTGCTCTCTACTGCCTCTAAAAATGAATTTAATGTTAACTTTAATTAAAAAAAAAAATCCAAAGCTCTGAAGAGGAAAACTAGAGTGTTGCTTCTCTTTGTTCAGTTCCTTGAGGTTTTTAGATTTTGCTATTCATTTTGCCTATTTATTTGCACATGACAATTTTCAGGGTTATCTCCTGAAAACTGCTGCACAGGCATGCAGTGCAAAAACCAGAAAGCAAATATAGAGCTCAATAATGAACAGAAACGTGACTTAACAAGCTACCATGCATCAGCTAAGCTGATGTAATAGTCAGATGTGCAAGTCAATACATTCTCTCACACTTGCAACAGGTCAAAGCCATGAGCTCTTACATGCTTTTATTTTTACATTCTTGTAACTCAGTTCTGTATTTCACCCTTAAAATTATTTCCTCACTCCTAGTCCTTTTTACTCCTACGGATTTCACTACTATGCAACAGAAATATCTACAACTTTAGTACTCCAACATCCTGTTAAAAGGACAATCAGAAATATCCAGTACTTACTAGCTCATTAGTTTACAAATTCATTCCTACTCACTGTTTTGCTATTTGGAGTTCCCTTCTAATTATATTTATTCCTTCTAATTATTTTTGCTTTCAATTATTTTAGCTTTGATAACTTTACATGACATAACCATATTGCCTGTCAGATAATGAAACTCTAGAAAAAGGACTGGGGATGGAAAACTAGGACTATCACTATCTACAGGGTACAGCTGGGCTTTCATGAATTTAGTACCCATACCTCGTATTTTCACCTAGGTAGAAGTCTCATTAAAGCAAGGGCTCTGAGAGCAACCCCTGCACATCCTGAGTAGTAAGATGCAAAGGTGTTTTATCTGTCATAGAACATTGAAAAGACAAGTTCTAAAGGCTCTATTCCTTTGAAACAATGTCAGCTCTTTACAGAACTAGGGCCCAGGTTAGTATTCTACCATATTCACCTCTTTTCTACTCATAATCTCTGCATTTCAGATATGCAGGCAACGAAATCTACGGTGCTGCCACCTCTAGAAACAGTGCAAGGGTTGTTTTTAACATCATTTGGATTCCTTACATGCTCTATTAATAACTGACAAACAGTAAGTTTATGACTGACAGCTGGAAAATGTTCACTCCTGTTTGGATGAAAAACAATCACAGATCACAAAATGTCCCACTGACCTCCAATCGTCTGATGATCTCTCGCAAAGAAAGACTGTTCTCATTTCCTCCTATGAAGGTGGTTGTGGGCAGCTGAAAGACTTTGTCCAAATCTGATTCATGCAAACCATAAAACCCTGCAACAGGTACATTATCAATTTGTGAAGCAGGACAGGAGACAAAAAGGAAACCAGCATTCTTTTTCAAACCAGCACGAATTAAGTTTAATACAGCAATATCAAGAAAGAAGGTACCAGATTAAAAATTTAAAATGTGAGTATTTTGGAGGCATCCACTAGTCTGGAATGTTTCAATTATTTGATTAGAAGTACAAAACCATTCTTTCTTAAATGCTCAGATAGAACAACTGAAATTAAAATCACCCAAACCTTTTTATATTTTCACATAAATGCCATCAACTCCCCATACTACATCTTGCACTTCATTGTTTAGTAAAATAACTAACTGCAATGACTAGAATTTCTTCCTTGCTCTATCATGAGCAGCAAACACAAAGAACCACTTTTCACAGACAGAACCAGTTAGCAGGAATCACACTAGACTAATTTATACGACATTAATGGACAGACTAAAAGAAAACACAGAACTTGTTCAGTGTTACACTACGCAAACACTCTGGTGCATCTTTCAAGATATCTCCGTTCACCTTCTTTCTCTTTATAGGAAATTTGAAATAGCCATGTAATGACCTGTACACCTCTATTTCCCAATCAGCGACCCCTTATAAAGCAGACACATTTTCACACATGCACCCCCAACTACTAAAAGAAGAGACTGTTTAAGCATATTGTCCCATCTTGATTTCAACATATCTGAACAACTTCTGTATGAGAATATGGTTTAAGAAAATATTTAACTTGACGATTATGCAGTTTCAAAAGCCAAAATACACAACAGATAAAACTGAAAGACTGGTATCAATGCAAGTTAGACTTTGCATGGTAAAGTTTAATCTAAACCTGTTAAACAAAGAAAGGAAAAATAGCTTCTTAGAATTCTAAGAAGCAAATCTATAAAACTTACAATAACATTGTATAGCTATGGAAGCTATATACAAGCTATATATACAAGCTATAGAAACTTACATATACATAAAAACTATATGTGTGTGTGGACATCTAAAAATATTTTAAAAACTAAAAATAGCTTCTCTATTTTTAGTTTTGAACTCTTTATCTTGGTTCCAGATAAGCTGTAGGCATCCACTTTAACACTGTATGACAGTGATAAACCTGCATGTAACGCTTAAACCCATATAGAATAGTGATCCTTATTTCCTGTTAAATGAATTTTCGGATGATGAAAGCAAGGAAGCAATTAAAAGATGAAATAATAATGGAACTCAGCATTTAGAGTTGAAGTCAGGCCCTAGACCTATGTTACCATCACTTTTACTATATAGTACTGTCAGTAACAACATATTTTGCATTATAAAAATAATATATTTTAAAATAGTGCATTTGGGTTTTAATAGTATTTTAATAATATATTAAAATATCAAATCTGGAGTAACGAAAAAAAGGGTTTGTGTACCACTACTTCTCCTTTTTTGCACCATAGTAAATTTTTCCAGCACAAAATTAATGCAATTTTTAGAGAGAGAAGAAAAGGACAAACTGGGAGGGACACGGGATGACGGGGACTTTAGTATCTTTTGAAACCAAGCAGTGTTAGCATCCTTTTTTTATTTATTTTCTTTTGCTGACTTTCTCTGACTTCATAGGCTTTTCATGTTCTGCCATGCATAAACCAGAACATGTACAGGAGTAATCTGGGCACACACAGAACATCTGTGCTTTGTACAACAGCACTGCATATTTACTAAAGCATCACTTCATGTTTAAAGAGATATAACCTTGTCAAAATCAAAGAATTCCTGAAAACAATTCTGTAACTTGAATCATACAGTACGTACATCTGCAACTAGTTGCATTCCTAGAAGCAACTCCCAGAAGAAACTTCCTACCAGAAAGTTTCTCAAAAAAAGAAACCAGACGACATGACAAATAAAATGCACAGAAAAATCAAACACTAAAATACTTTTGGTACCACCACAGACCTTTCATAAGTTTTCTGCCTGGAACATTCAAGGATAAACAACATTTAAGATCCCTCCTTTTTTGTTGTGGTGCCAAGACTATGTTAGAAATGTTTTCCCTCACAAACTGAACTATCACCTCAGCTACATTCTCAGACACATCCCCCCTTCTCATTCAGAGTCTGGCATGTTTTTCCAATGCTCATGAGAGCGTCAGTATGATGCCTTCTGGTGAGTCACAATGCTCTGTACTGAACTATCTGCACAGTTCACAGAAATTTGCACTGACATGCTAGCAATCACCCATGCTCCAAACAAATTCTATTTGCTCAGTAAATGTCTAATGTATTTTCTAGTAGGTATTTTCCTTTAATAAAAGCTGACAAACTTCAGAAAGAACCCCTGATTTGCGTAAGCACCTCTCTATTTAGTCTTAAGCACTTAACTGCCTTGATATGATAAAGGGTCAGAACTGCTTCTTTTCCTACCACCAGAAACAGAAAATAAAGCAGCAAAGAGGCAGCAGAGGTACTTAAAAGTAAAATTAAGCAGAATGTGTTTTCTCTAGTACTTGCACTATGTTTTATGCCCTGTCCAAAAAGCTTCTCTACATATCAAAATAAAATTGATTCAGTGTCTTTATCAAGTACAAAACCATCTTTTTAACAAACCAGGTAGACTGAAGAGTAGAGAAAAATCAATCAGATGGGTTTTTATTCAAGCAGAGAGAGCAAAGAAATTGATCAGTGCAATCTCTCAAAGCCATGCCCTCTTAGCAATCAAAACAACCTTTGCAAAAGCAGACCCCAGTGTATTACACTCTTCCAGCTGTAAACTAAAATGATCACCACTGAATTACATACACGAGTCAAGAATCCTACACTTTCCATGTTTTCTTCTGATAACTTCAGACTTCTTCAAGTTATACAGAAGGAATAAGTATCAGAAGCTAGAATCCAAATTTGGTATGAAATGTAGTTTCTCTATCCAGCAAGTTGGTTTTATTTGGTTTTCCTATTGACTACCCTTCAGATGTCCCCAGTCAAAACAAGTATCAAGCATAATGGTATAAAAGTAAATGAGATTACCAGAATCTTGGCCTAACATATTGATTATCATTAATTCCTGGTGTGGCTCAAAACCATAAGATTTGGGGTTTATAAAGTGTTTATAATCATCATTCATCAGAAGGTGAATTCACAGGAATCTCACCTGTGATCTGAGTAGAAATTCCATCATCCTGAAATCTGAGCTTCTTTACAGACACCAAAGAAACTATTTCATGATATAAGCTAGCAGAAAAGGCAGAAGCTTCCCTGAAATGTCTTATTACATCACCTCAGCCCAATGAAACAAAAGAGACAAACGACCATTGCAAATAACAAAGCATACGGTGCACACACCAAGTTTATCGATTGTAGTGATTAAGTCGGATGGAACAAATGAATCCAAGTCTGCATCCAGAATTCCAAGGGGATCCAGCTGAGCCACATGATGGCCACGGATCTGAAATAGAAGGAAAGTGAGAGAAAAGTAAAATCACATCAACAAAAGTCAGACAAAGGGAAAAAAACACTGTATATCTCTCCATAGTATGTATATCAGTCATGAATTTAACAAACACCACTAATGTCATGAGAGGCTCATATTTCCCAAGTTTTTCCATAAGAACATAAGCATATATTTCCATGGGAAAATAAGCATATGTATCTCTGGATATGTACACTGTATCTCTGGATATGTATATATGTAATACCTCTATTAAAAATTGCTGAATACACATTAGAACATTAGCTTTATTTTGTCTCACATACAATTTAAAATTACGCTGAAGTTTAATTATAAAAAAAAACTACTTTAAGATCGTACTCTAAATCTTTGGGCAAAATTAAGAAACTGACTTCTCTATATCCTATCATTTACTAATTCATTCATTTTGTATTTTTGTCACATTCATTTTTCCCACACCTGCAGAACATTAAATAGAGCACTTTTGACTTGAAACATAGATTGGTGCTGAAGAAGTCTATATTGGAAGTGAAAGGATTGCTCTTCATGAGCTCTGCTCCACATCAGATAGAATCGGGTATCATTTACTTTCATTCATGCAATTTTGGGAATCTCATCTATCATAAAATTGACACTCAAAGACACCAAAGAACACAAATTTACTGGGGAATTTAGCCATCTTTTAGTTATCAATATTACTGGTGTTAATCCACACCATAAATTGCTATAAACTAGTATCTTACATTAACGTATAACATTGTTACAGAAGAAATAACTAACTGATTCAATAGAGCCACAAACGAAACATTTTTTTTAATCTCTCTTTTGCGTGACTCTCATATACCAAATTTAAAGCTTTTTATAAATGAATATATTAATATTTTCTCCTTAATGCTTTTCTTTTTAAGGACAAATTCAGATCACCTTGGTAGAATTTCATTTACACTACTAGTATTCTGTCTCTGAAAAAACATATCCATAAACTGCAACATTAATAATGAATTGCACCACACAGTTATAGAGTGTGGTTAAAGAGTGGTTCACCAAGAAGTAACTTGTAAAAGCATTATTCAAATGTTCTGTATTAGTAGAAGAATTCATAACAAAATGCCTTCCACTCAGAAGTAAACAGAAATAAGGCATCTTTTTTAGAACCACCAGCCCTGTAAATTCAGCCTGGCCTGTGAGATTCTTTGCATCTCATGAATTACCAGTAATAAAACTCTGACGGGCCAAATAATGCCCACGGCAACATCTGTGCCACCTTGTTGTTTACCACACACACAGTCTATCTGCCTGGAACTAAGCAAACAATTCTGTCTCAAGCATCATCAACAGAAAAAGAATTCACCTCCCCAAGCTACATCTGTTCTGCAGTATTAGCAGGAAGAGGAAGATTAGCAAGAACACTAAAACCCAGAAAAGCAAATCGATGTGCCATATTACACTCCAGAAGCAGTTTGGTCTTTAACCAGAAAACAGTATTCTCCTCAATATCAAGTGATTTTTTAATAACTTCCACTTATTTCACTGCATACAGAAAATAGTAGCAACTGCAAAACTCTACCTTTTGAAAACACATGCATGGAAAATTTTCAACGACTGCCATAAATTTGACGGAGTGCAAATACAGACTACCTGAAACTAGACTTTAAAATCATATTTTCTAGACACAAAGGCAAAAAAAACCCTAACAACTACATTATAAAAGAAGACTCAAGACATTAATTTATGTAGACTCGTTTTTGTTAAGCACACACATTTCGCTGGAAATCTTTTCTGCGCAAGCAGTGTTCTACATTAAAAAAGCAAGAGATTAACTGCCTTTTCAGAAGACCAGCTCAACAGACCACAAAGCAGTTTACCACAAAACCCCATAAAATACTGACAGGTTTGAAAAATGAAAATTCTGTATCCTCCTCCATTTCATTATCAGGTGAAGGAAGGTCACAAATTAATCACATCCCCTCAACACTGAATTTAGAGGGTATTAAATACCTTTTAAAAACAGACAGCTGCCTTAGGTAAACCTTTTTCACTGTTGCAAAACACACGGGTTCCTGCCATTTATACAGACATTTCTGTTCCATCACTTGAGTTGCATGGCACAGTCTTTCAAATAAAGGAAACAAAATGGCAACCCCTGAACTATTTTCAAGTAAATGGTGTCAAAGCAGCCTAACGTTCTCCAATTTTCTCTAATTCTTCAACCATTTTTTACTGCAAGGAAAAGTGAACTGGTTGAAGTAGTTGTTTTCTACATAGCTATTTCTAAGCAAATTTCATATATTATTAATACTCACAAGCCTTTCTACTCTTTTACGACACCTCCCCAACAGCTAGAATAACATGGTTCATAACTGAAACAATGGTGACAATGTGATGTGTACAGAAATAAGAGCTGTTCTTCTATTCCTCTGATCCCAGGAAACAGGAGTTAAAAGTCTTAGGGTATTAGACTTAATTTCTTAATTTAATAAAAGGGTTTAAAAAAAAAAAAAAATGAATGTGAAACAAAGTCAACCTTCATGAACAGCTCTCTAAAAGACATTCATCAAACCTGACCCAAACTGAGTACTACCAGCCTCCCAAAATTCAGTTTCTGGTTAATTCATTATTTTTCCTCTCTCTTTCTACCTACACTCCTCCTCAAATCAGGAATCTAAAAATTCACACTACATGTATGAATTGGGAAACACATTTCCTCTTTTCTTAAAGGAAGGTAGTAACATTCAGAACTATAACACAAATTTTCCTGGAGGTGAAGACAGACTTGAATGATGGAAAAGTTTACTGTTTAAGAAAGGGAAAAGTTCTTATTTTGCTGCACACATCAGGAGATTCATTAGTACCAGCATATCCAGGACAACTGCCTTCACATCAAGCAAAGCTATTTCAGATAGCTTAGTTTTCCAGTTTGGTCAATTACCTTAATGAATCAGACACACACACAACTTGAATACAGTCAAGTGAGTCAAAATAATAGTAAAGACTAAGCTTCAACACGTTTGGCTTCTGCTCCTGGTAAACAGGCAAAACCCAACAGATTTGTATTTCCTTTCACAAATTACTATCTCCATAAAGTGCCTCCAGGTTAAATCAGATAAAAAGCATCAGGGATGTGGGTAATCTGAATCTGGAATTTGCTAAGACAGAGGAGCATCCCAGTCTGAATCCATGACCTCAGTGTTCAGACACTGTGGAGGGAAGATAAAACTGTCAGGCTTGAGACATTCTGGATAAGAAGTAAGACAACAGGCAAGAATTAAGATCAGAAGACAAATAAAAATGTAAGAAGAAGCCCTTCCACACCTACCCCAAAGAACACTTACTTGGTATGCTCTTATCAAAGACTGCACAGCAAGGTGATCTTCAACAAGCTTTTCAGCTTTACCCGGTGTCTGGGCCAGGCCATGGCTCTGAAGAAATGATGCCTTTCTTTCCGATTGATCTGGTAGATGGGGATCATATGCTTGGCCAGCATTAGCATTTCGGAAGAACAAATCCCAGGACTGGACATGTGTACAGAGAAGGAAAGAAGAAGGAAAATTTACTATCTCAAACAGAAGTCTCAACCAAAATCAGCTCCTTCAAGCTGCAAATGGTACTTCACTACATTACAGTATTAAGTACCACTAATAGCCAGCAAAAAGACAGCACTAATAGGTCTATATCAGGGTAGCAACTATGTGTTTTATTTACACAAAGCCATTTTCATATCATTTCTTATACTGAGCTTGGTCAGTGGAAAACTCTCCAGCACATATGAGTGGAAAGCATCTTCATACATTATTCATTCACACAGTTCTTTTTAACTGTGCTATTTACTCAGGCAACCAGTAATGGGTACGATATTATGCTGCTGGTAAAGAGGTATCAAGCCTATAAAACTGAGAACCTTAATAAATTAAATTAATCCATTCTTTTAATGATACTTAAAGAATTTATGATACTTCAAGGCACTCGCTGAATATGCTAAATCAGAATCAGTCCTTAAGGGCCTTTCTTGGAGAAACTGTTTAAAAGCAATTACAGCTTTTCCAAGTGAGGCTTTTGGTCTAAGATCCTTTACTCACTAGCTTAGGTTACCTTACTATGAAAGAAATTATGGACCTGGTTTCAGGTACAAGTCATGATTTTAGAAGAGTACACATTTCAGAAACTGAATCACAACAAATGAAAGATCCTTTTATTTCCATCTGTACTTTTATACAAGCCACTCCCTCCACATATGCCCAAATCTTGTTTTCCTGGACTGTTTCCATTCTGATGAGGTGGTCACTGTCCCAGGTTAGAATGGTATTAGATATATTAGCAGCAGAATGGGATAAAACATCCAAGATGTTTATACCCAACAAAAAAGAAAGTCTGCTGCAGTTGGGGACCAAGCAATACTTGTGTTTAGCTTACAGTTCCTACAAAAGGTAATGAAAGGTCATAGAACACTTTCCTCAATTCAGCTAACTTAGGCAAGGAAACTGTGAAACTATTTCAAAACTTTAAAATGTTTGTGATTGGAATAGAAGAACTGTAAAAGCCAGTTTCATTCTGTACAGTGCATGTCATTTAGCCTGGCTGTGAGCTTGGAACTAACACATTTTACATTTTAAGAAACCATTGCCAGAAAAAAAACAAAAAGTAGCCTAAAGATTTGCTTTTAAAAAGAATATTACTAAATATATTCATTACAGAATACGCAGGAGAATCAAAACAATGTAATACCAACATTGCATGACAGAAGTATATTTTTTAAATTCTTATTTCATTAAGAAAAAATCTTTATATTGAAATTTCTACAAGCTTTAAGGTATTCAGAAACACTATGAGAGGGGCAGTACACAAAAGCTAAACATCACCCAAACTTCCAAGTTCAAGTTACAGAAGTGGGAGGACTCACTGAACTTGTGGGCAGGAATCTCATCATTAGCATGAAGCCACTGCTCCCAAAACACTGCTTTAATGCACCTCTCTTATTTCTCTATTGACACAAAGCTACAGTGATACAAAATACAATAACCTTACCTAATTAACCATCCTACTCTTACATGGACTTCAGCTAAATACAGCCTAACTTCTATATGCCATGACAAATTAGGGTGGACAGATCATGCTTGGAGGTCAGTTCCAGACACACTGATGAAGAACTCATTCCTTCTATCTTCTCTCACTTATGTTAAATTTTCTATATTCTTCTTACTTTGACACCTTGATAGCTGCCCTGAGATTAGAAGTATGAATTTACACAACATCCTATAAATGATCTACAAGAGTCTATTGGTGTAACTGTGTTTTTTCTGGTATTCTCTCTATACACCTTCCTACTCTGTATTAAGGACAGTAGTGCTGTTCCATGCCTATGCAGTACCTCATCTGAGAGCCTGCATATCACAGACAGCGAAAAATAGATACAACCCCTTCATTTCACAACTAAGGCTACTTAGATTAGTGGAATTATTTTGACAACAAACAGTTATTAATTTTCATTAAATTAGGAAATTCCAAACACATACTTGGATCCATGACAAACTGACATTCGGTGTTCATTCAAAGTTTTAATAAAGAATACATTTTGCTTACGTTAAGAATCCTTCCTCACCTTTCCAACACCATGGCACACATACAGTGTTGACAGTAATATAACTATTCTTTTATTGGGTCAAAACCTTTTCATTTAGCTGTAAAAGTTACCACAGCATAGTCCCACAAAAAAAAAAAAAAAGAATGTTTTTAAATGAGTGCTCTGTAAGACAGTTGCTAACAAAATCCAAGTAGACTTCCCCACCAAGCTACCTGTGTAAGGAGAATAAGCATAGGGCCCTTTCTTCATGCAAATTCACAGACATAATGAAAATGCTTACATCTGAATATGCAGCCAGCTAGGACAGAAGGAACCCACGCTATCTTCTCCTATGGCATCTTTTAACTTATTGATTTGATGGGCAAGCTTGACATTTAATCAGAAGGGAGGGAAAATACATCACTTGGCTACAGAAAATTAGTTTTTTCTAGATACACATCCATCAAAGCCTTTACAAATTTCTATAGTGTCTTTCAAGATTGATACCAGATTATAGTCTTCAAGTCGTGTGTATCAATGTCAGTCTTTGACAACAGCATTTGCTATGTGACTGAACAGAGAGAAGACCAGCTTGGTCTCACAGCAAACCTACCGGTTCTAAACTAAACTAGTAAAGTTCTTTAAGAAAATAGTAGAGGAGTCTTATAATAGAAAAATACATCTGTAAAAAAAAATAAATTACTATCGTGATATGTGATACATTCTTTTTTTTTCCTGTCAGCAAATCTATGTTGTAGTTAACCATTATTTTCTCAAGTAATATAGTAAAACTCAAGTGATTTAGTGTCACTATTTTGTTCTCATACAATAAACAGTGTTGCATTTAGAATAACAAGTAACATATTTGTTATCTTGATGATTTGGTTTTTTTTCTAGTGACATCACAATATTTATCAACTGCAGTGAGGACAGTAAAGCCTTAGAAGACACACAATGAGCATCATTATACCATTTTAAAAAAAATAAAATAGATTACCTCAAAACAAAACCCCCATGCTTTTTCCAAGTACATAAAATAAGGAAGTGACTACACACGCATGGTAGAGTGACTCTATACAGGATTACATGGCAGGCATTATGCACTCAATACCCAACCATGCAGTATTGTAATTAATCTTGTGATAGTAATAACTGGGCCTTGTCAAGCTTCTCCCTTATGATCTATGGCCCTGACACCATGCTTCAAGGAGAAATAATGATGCCTTTTTCAGAGCCCATGTCATTTTATTCTGATTGTTGTTTTGGCTACTCTGAGGATAGCAGATTCAAAAGACAAGTAAAAAAAGAGAATCATCAAGAATGGATTTGCACAAAGAACGAACGCTCCTATGCATATAAATGCACATTCCTGAATATACAACCATGGTATACATAGAAAGGAGAGATTCTAATGAAAAAATGCTAGTAACACTGAATATTCTCATTGGAACATGACAGCTGTATTTCAAACAGTTTTAAATAAGCATCCATGGTACAACATGTACAGTCAAATCTGAGAGAGAAATAATTTAAGGAGCCTTGATTAATTGTAGTTTCTATGTAAAAGTGAATAGAGCATGATTTTTAAAGCCCAGGAAAAATAAAGCATTTTCATCTCCTCAACTAGAAGGCACATCCCCTCTGGTAAGAAGATATCCAGGAAGAAACATGAGGAAAAACAGGAAACCGAGGAAAAAGACAAAAGAGAATGTAATGTCTAAACACCTAGCCCAAACTGTCTCTCTAAACCGCACTGGACATATTGGATAAAACAATGAAATGCCTGCAGAGAGAGTTAATTACTAACAACAGCAAAACAAACATCACCTAAGCCAATGGTGTCTCTGGATATTGTTTTCCAAGACTTACACCACTTGACATAGCAGAATGACAAGTTCACAACAGTCATACAACTACAGTATGAACTCTTCTGTGTTTTTAAGAAAACAGTGTGAGTTCAAGTCTTCACATTTTTAATGTGTTATATTAAAGCCCAAATTGAACAACCTCTGTCCACAAAAATCTTGGGTAGGTATTTACAGCTTTCAGATGACAAAATAAGATGGTTTTCAAGAAACCAAAAATTGATTTTGTTGAGGAAACAAAAGTCATAGGCATCATTTTCCTCCCTTTTTTTTCAAGGCTGGGAAAAACATAATTATTTAGACAAGAAGAGCTGTAAATTCAACCAGGATGCCCATCAATCATGTTCTTTTAAGGCTCATAAACCAGGCATGCAGTGAATTTACTTCATTACTATTGTGAGTATATTGCATTCAGTTAACCTGGGACAGATTTCACACATTTTTAAAGTGCATCCTGAATTACCCGGGATCCACTCCCTAGTCCACACCCTACTCCACCAGTAGTACATTTACATTTCACTGTCAGTTCAATTCTGCTAATTTATCACTGTTCAACCTACAAACGGCAATATCTCATCAGGATCCACTGCCACATTGTGCCTGAACAGTCAAACGAACTGGATAGCCTTTCTGCAGGATTTTTAGCATTTCCACCTATCCCCAAGTACCAGCAAAATAACAAGCAGTGCTAAACTTAGCAGAACTCTTTGCTACCGCGGTGGCGTCGGGAGTTTCCCGGCCCCGCAGAAGACTCGGATGGCCTTTACGCGGGGTTCAACTGCGGTCTGGGTCCGGCGGTTCAGCACCCTGGCCAGCTCCCGCGGCGCTGCCCGCAGCCCCGGCTCCGGCTTGCGGCCGATTTAACCGTGCCCCGCTCGTGTGTTTATTCACTGAGGTTTGTGCCCGATCAGAAGCTTGCAAGACTTTCCATCAGCAAAATTCACTCCACTGTAAAGGGTCTGAGCAACAAACTGCAGCCTTCTTAAAGGGAAGAAGGTTCCCACAAGCTGATCTGACTTCAATAAAACAAGTAAAAATAACGTCACCACACACACACTCCCTATGCATCATCCCTCCAGTGTCCTCAAAATAAAAGTTTAATATTGATCTATAGCACTAACACATCACAAGTGCTTCTCAGAAATTAATTAAATGCATCAATACAATGTACTACCCTGCACTACACTGGTTGGAACTTCAGCTGGCAGTTGCATCTTGAAGAATCAAAGACAGATGGGATGAGAGAAGGAGCCACTCTGGAAAAGGTCTATTCATTTCCAACTTAAGGTATAACACAAAAAACCCAGGATCTATCTGCCATGTGAACAGCGTTCAGTCTTCAGAACTGTCACAGCAGATTGTCACCTTCCAACATGATTAAATTCACAAGCAGCATCCAAAAAAACAAAAAACAAACCAAAAAAAACCACAGAAAAAAAGAAAAACAAACCAAAATACTAACCAGTTACAAAACTGCTTTTTTTGTTTCTTTCTCCAACTTAACATGCGCCACTTCCTCACCCTCTAGACAGATTATCAGATTTAGCGCAACAACTTCTAAGTGACATTTTGATACATGTGCCTTGAGAATAAGGGAACACACAACCAATTTGGTAAACATTTTGCAGACAATTCACATTACTTCTCTAGAAAATTACTTGTCTTAGAATTTGCCAGACTTCTCATCAGCTTCTTAAGTTACTATACATGTATCACCATAAAAGAACCTTCCCTGTCAGCAGAAAGCTTGTTAAAAAATAAGTCTACGTATTTTGCCCACAAGAAAGGATTTGGGCAATAAAGTTTTTCAAAAAGCAAACGAATGTATGTCACCTAGAGAGGGAAAGAGACACAACAAAATACATTTCAAAACACTTAAGAAGGCTTTTTTGACAATTTCAGATTTAGTTTTAAGGTTACAACTTCCACAGCCACCTAAAGGGACCTGAACATTCATTTTTCCTAGGCAGTTTAGAAGTATCAACACCAACACGTGCATCAATAGAACATATCCTCTGATATCACCTTATCTTGGGGCTTCTTCCAGACGTAACTAATTACTTAACAGACTTCTTGAACAGCATTTCCATGGAGGAATGCTGAAAGTTTCTGAGCAGCTCAGGCTAAGGTCACCATGCCTGTGGCTCCTCTATACTTTTTTAGCTGCAATATCACATCTTACAACAATCAATATGTGGGAAATTAGTTTCACATTTTTCATTTCATACAAGACCTTTTTTTGGACTTTTTATAAAAGAAGTTAAAAAAGAAAAGAAAATAATCAATTCCACTCTTAACCTAATATTATCACTTACAGTCATGTTTTCAACTTACCTTATGTACACTTCCAGGGTTTTCAAGCCACGCATAATACATTTCCTCCACATAATTTGAATTACTCCCACTCGGGAATGGTTCTGAGATTCCTGATGAAACATACCGTTGGCCATGTAAAAATACCCTTCTCGCTATATCTTGCTTTTCCAGAAATTTAATACCATGCCACTTCAGAGCAGCAGCAAGCAACTTCAGATGACTCATGTTTGTTTATCAGACTGAAGATTTAAGTCTGTTAATAAAACAAAAACAAACCCAATCAGGAAAAGAGTCCATGAATTGCAGACACTTTTCAGTCTCACAGTGAAAACTGAGGTTTATAGCTACAGTGCCTCATCAACAAAGCTGAGATCTAACATGAAGCTCTTTTCAGGAGAGAGGCTACTCCATGACTGACTGCAGAGCTATACTCACAGCAGAAGTGTTGCTCGTGAGCATCTCCATATCAATCAGCTCACCTTACAGCTTCTGTAACTGATAATATCGTCCTGGTTCCTGAAGCAATCATGACACCATTTGTATGACATGCTCCCTGAGCCCTGGTTCCCTAGGAACAAATGAATCTGCTAATCGCTGACTTCTCTGGAGCTCTTGGCAACCATAACTGCTGTGTCTTGGTTGTAGAAAGTTGAGGCCTTTTACTAAGCCAAAGAGGTAGACTCACTGAAGAGCATCAACCACAAACGCAGTGGTTTTAAAAAAAGCCTGCTACTTCAAATTTATGCCAAATAATTGTTAGTTAAGTGTTCGTATCAGCATTAGCCTTCAATCAGTGATACACCTAGAAAAGACTCAATAAAATCTGCTTTCTTAACTAGCAACATTTATCTTGTCTTTCCAATGAGCTTTTTAATAAGGACAGCAGATTCCCTGTTATTTTTAACACAATGAGGAGAACAATAAGGGCTGAATCTTTGCTAGCACTGGAACTGATGGTGTTCAGCATTCTCAAGATTCTATGGTTCTATGAATCGCGGGAACGTGGACCACTATCAGTTCCAGGGCTAGCAAATGGAACTGTCCTGGGTTCAGCTGTAGCAGTTACTTTTCTCCTTCTTAGCAGCTGGTGCAGTGCTGTGTTTTTGACTTTAGTCTGAGAACAATGCTGATAACACATCAATGTTTTCAGTTGTTGCTCAGTAGCACTTACACTCCGATCAAAGACTTTTCACTCTCTCATGCTCTGCCAGTGAGGAGGGGGACAAGAGGAATCAGAGACAGGACACCTGACCCAAACTAGCCAAGGAGGTATTCCATACCACAGCATGTCATGCCCACTATATAAACTGGGCGACATTACCCAGAAGGTCCTGATGGCTGCTCAGGTTGGGCTGGGTATTGGTCAGCAGGTGGTGAGCCATTGTATTTCATAGTATCATAGAATCACAGAATAGTTAGGGTTGGAAAGGACCTTAAGATCACCTAGTTCCAACCCCCCTGCCATGGGCAGGGACACCTCACACTAAGCCATGTCACCCAAGGCTCTGTCCAACCTGGCCTTGAACACTGCCAGGGATGAAGCATTCATAACTTCCTTGGGCAACCCATTCCAGTGCCTCACCACGCTTACAGTGAAGAACTTCCTCCTTATATCCAATCTAAACTTCCCTTGTTTAAGCTTGAACCTGTTACCCCTTGTCCTATCACTACACTCCCTAATGAAGAGTCCCTCCCCAGCATCCTTACAGGCCCCCTTCAGATAGTGGAAGGCTGCTATGAGGTCTCCACGCAGCCTTCTCTTCTCCAGGCTGAACAGCCCCAAATTTCTCAACCTATCTTCATATGGGAGGTGCTCCAGTCCCCTCGTGGCCATCCTCAGGACTTGTTCCAACAGTTCCATGTCCTTTTTATGTTGAAGACACCAGAACTGCACATAATACTCCACGTGAGGTCTCATGAGAGCAGAGTAGAGGGGCAGGATCACCTCCTTTGACCTGCTGGTCACGCTCCTTTTGATGCAGCCCAGGATACGGTTGGCTTTCTGGGCTGCGAGCGCACACTGCCAGCTCATGTTCATTTTCTCATCGACCAACACCCCCAAGTCCTTCTCCACAGGGCTGCTCTGAATCTCTTCTCTGCCCAACCTGTAGCTGTGCCTGGGATTGCTCCCACCCAGGTGTAGGACCTTGCACTTGTCATGGTTAAACTTCATGAGGCTGGCATCAGTCCACCTCACAAGTGTGTCAAGGTCCCTCTGGATGGCATTCCTTCCCTCCAGGGTATCACCGAACCACACAGCTTGGTGTCATCGGCAAACTTGCTGAGGGCGCACCCAATCCCACTGTCCATGTCAGCAACAAAGATGTTGAACAAGACTGGTCCCAACACCGATCCCTGAGGGACGCCACTCGTTATTGATCTCCAGCTGGACATTGAGCCATTGACCACAACTCTTTGTGTGCGGCCATCCAGCCAGTTCTTTATCCACCGAGTGGTCCATCCATCAAATTGATGTCTCTCCAATTTAGAGACAAGGACGTTGTGCAGGACAGTGTCGAACGCTTTGCACAAGTCCAGGTAGATGACATCAGCTGCGCTACCCCTGTCCATCAGTTCTGTAGCCCCATCATAGAAGGCCACCAAATTGGTCAGGCAGGATTTCCCCTTAGTGAAGCCATGCTGGCTGTCACCAAGCACCTTGTTGTTTTTCATGTGCCTTAGCATGCCTTCCAGGAGAATCTGCTCCAAGATTTTGCCAGGCACAGAGGTGAGACTGACTGGTCTGTAACTGCCTGGGTCATCCATTTTCCCCTTCTTGAAAATGGGAGTTATACTTCCCTTTTTCCAGTCATCAGGAACTTCACCTAGCTGCCATGATTTTTTATTTGGGTATCACTTGTCCCTCTTGGTTTTATCCCTCTCTCTCTCCCCTTTTCATTACAATTATTGTTACTGTTGTTGTTGTTATCTTTGGTATTAGTATCATTGTTAGATTTTACTTTCCTTTGTTTCAATTATTAAACTGCTCTTATCTCAACTCATGAGTTTATCTTTTTTTCTGTTGTTCTCCCTATGCCCCTGTGAGACAGAGGGGACAGGTGAATGAGCAAACAGCTGCTGGCTGGGATTAAACCACAATGCATGGAAAGATTATTTTATCTTTAATTCCAGAAGCAATAGTTATCTTTAATATTCTGTATAAATATTTTCTGCAGATAAATCCCATTAGATTATTTTCTCTTCCCCCTCTCCCTTCGAAAAGGGAAAGACATGTTTCTAAAATGCCTAAAATTTTAAGGGATAGGAAGAGCTACATTTTTCAACATCCAATTTAAAAATTAATACAGGTCTCAAAAAACCTTAAAAAAAAAAGGCTCCTACTGAACAAGACAGCACTGCTGCACACTCTTTTCTGGCATCATATTTTTAACGTGACATGTTTAACTCGACATCTATTTTGAAAGCTGTTTACTGGATCCCCTCCCTCATTGCTGATTTTAACTGCATCATCCCAGCACTGAACTTTCCTTCTTTACCACACCAAATTCTCTCACCTCCTCTTTCAAACCTCCTGCAGCCTCTGCACTCTCCTCCACTATCAAATTTGGCTTCTAGCTCGTAACACCAGCTGCCATCATCCACTTACTGAATTTTCCAAACAAGCACTTGTTCACATACTCCATGGTGTTCAGGTACATGGAAAGTATTCTCCCATAGCAGTACCACCAAAAACTACAATCCTCCTTTAAACCTACAAATAAACCCAAAACACATGCTCTTCTTTCCTCAGTTGGCATTTTCAGCAAATTGGCAATGGTTAGGCTACCGGTATGCTGAATCCCCTATACATTAGCATTATTTCCTATCTACCTACATTCAGTTGTCATTTCCCATTTCACCGATTCAGAGCTTATTACAACACTGATTTCCTCCTGTGTCAACACCCTGTCTATGTTTAGGGCTCCGAGGCAACTATAGGAACATAAATACTATCAGGACCATTATGAAACCAGATTAGGTCCTGCAAAAGCTCAGAGCAACTGGGACAACACTGACAGAGTTAATGTATTGTCTGTATACATAATTCTCTCTAAGACATAACAGCACTAAACCCACTACGTAGACACCATGTAATTTTGCAGAACTTAGTAAGATTTCAAGACATTGTAACAGCAAGAACTGGGAGGTCACCATGGCACTTAGGACTTTGTGTCTGTGCCCATTCTGATAGAAATTATTATTCTGTCTACCTTATTCCACACAAACCTCACCCTCTACTACCAAACTCTGCACACATACGTCAGGGGTGGACACTCATTCCTAAACAGTTATCTACCCACATTTAAAGTGCTTTGAAAAGACTTGAGAGAGAAGGGGACAACAGAAACATTCTTCTCAATTGTGGTGGTTTAAGCCCAGCTGGTAACTCAGAACCACAGAAAGCTTCTTAAGCAGATTCTTTCTTCCTAACACACCTGCCTGGAGAATGTATAGATCTTTCTTCTAGCAGCTAGCAATAAGCATATAGCAAAACACCAACAGTTTGTCAGGGAGATTTGAAAATGGATGCAAATGGCGTAATACATAATAGCAATAAAGCAATAGCTTTAAAGTGACACCAGTCACTTTCTTCCAGTTCCATTTAAATTTCAAAATGGGTCAGAGCCATATCTCAAGTTGTAACTATTCAATACGCAATCTATAACATCAGATATGGGCTACGTCACTCCTGTGATGATATAAAGGTGAAGAAAACTGTTATCATAGACATTATTCCCACCTCATAAAAAAGTAATCCCTCCTTTTTTATGCAGGTACGAAACAAAAATGGACAAAGCCACCAACCATGAAATTCCAGTCACATTTCAGTTACAGATTAATCTGACTCAACAAAACTGACTTCTTCCTAGTTCTTTTGTACACACTGCTCTTTAGCACATATGTCAGTTGTCAGCAGCTTAACAAATCAGAGACCACCAGCATGATCATAGACCATTCCAACCCACTCAGCCTTTAGACCGTCAGTCAAAAATCAGCACACAGGACAACAGGTCAGAAGGCAGAAACAGATTGTTTCACTCTGCTATGTTTCCTAAGTCAACTCTGAAATGAAAACAGTGATCAGCAAGGAATCAAGCTGAGCTAAGAGCAACCTAAAGGAAGATAGTAATTTAGTCTCTACCAGAGGTCAAAAATAAGAAAGCAGCAGTGAACCAAAAGAACAACCTGATAATTAAGCACCAAAGCACCATGAAAATGTTGGATGTAAATGAGAGCCCTATGCAGCCAAAA